CTTTCTATATTTTTTTTTTTTTTTTTTTTTTTACAGGAATATTTGTTTTACAGCTATATTTGTTGTCACATTACAATTGGGGTGGGAAACTCCATATGCCGAAGCTTCACAAAAAGGGCTTATGGAAAATGTTTAGCATGACTAGCTTTTAGTCTAGTTGAAAACTGGGCTAATGAACATTTAAATGAAATGTAAATACACATTCACTTACCACACTCTTGTAATAGCTCTCCCCATGTAAGTTTTTATTGTTCCATGGAAACAGCTGGGGGACACTTCCTGGAAGCATGCATCTTTTGCCAGTCTCCTCATGCCACACCGAACACACTGCTAAAATGCTTCAAACAAACTTTTGTGTTGAATGTAATCCGTATGAACATTATGAACAGAAATGTGCATTCCGGTGAGTATAATGTCACATAATGTTACTGGCTTAACCAGAACATTTCTGATTTGGGTGAAGAGACAGTAAGACAGTTGACGTTACATTAAGGGTATGATTACATCCTGTATGTTTTGCTTACAGCCTTAAATAAGCATGTCCAAGATGTGCGCTGATATTTCAGAATTACTTTCTTATCATATCATGTAACACTAAGGTTTTCAAATTGTTAGCCAGGATGTGGTTGAATGTGGAATTTTCATTATCCGCCGTCTTCTTAGTTGGTGATCGTTCAGAGTGATGAAATGATAATGTTTTGTCAGATTTCCTACATTTATACGACTTAGAAGCTGCAGTACAGCAGTAGGACATTATCCTTTTCATAAACTTCCCACCCATTTGCTACATAACAACAAATATGGCTGCCTTGTGACTATGGTCAATGGCGGATCAATGGAACATCAAATAGTTCCAAACGTTAGGAGCAGCACCATAGAGTTACACTGACTTAGCTATCTTTCAAAGAAAGAGATAGCAATAATTATACTTGTGACATTTAGCCATGTGTCAAAACACATTTTACAACCTTTTAACTGTCTCTCTCAAATATTGTGTCACTTTAATAGTTGGGCACTTAGCTAACTAGCTAAATTAGCTGACCTATCTACAACAACAAAACACAGAATTAGCTTATAAGGCTGAAAAGTCATAAAAACAGCCACGTGACCTGCTGCTAGTTATGACCCCTCATGTAGCAACTCTTCTATCGTAGTAGCTCTGACCTAGCCTAGTTTAACTTTAGCCTTATATTTGCCATTACCACATCTAATGTTTGCCAAGAAAGTGTATTTCCGAAATGGTCAGACAATTGCTTTAAGTGTTAATTCAGTTAAATTACCACCCATGATTGTATCAGTAAATATAAAAAGAGCATAACAAATTCGGCAAGTATAGGACATACATGGTAAAGTTGTGGCGTTATCTATAGAAAGTCTCATTTGTTATAATTTTGCAGTTTCATGACATTTGTGAGAGTATGTGTCACTTTTTTCAAACATATGGTGCATTTCGTGTCCTGACTTGGGGCAGTAAACTTAACTACACCACGAGCCCTTCCTCATACCTAATCAGAACACCAACGCTGACACCAAACCATACCATAAGGTTCTATGATCTGACTGGGGACTTTTTTTTATTCTCTTGGGTCTAGACAAATGTAGACATGCATACAAACACACACACACACAACGTTGAGTCATACTGAATATAATACAGCTTGATTCAAGTAAAGCCTGATTAGTTTGAAGATATAATTACCTCAGCTTGAGGAAGAGGTTGAGCAGGGGGCGGAACATAAACTCACCACAGTGGAACATGAGTCAGTGATACACACACTATGAGTGTAATATCTCCATTTTTATAGTCTAGGTGTTATCAATCCTCACTTTTTGAAGGTTTATCTGGAAACTGAGATCAGACATTTGAAGTGCAAAGTGCTTGTGATCTTGTAGGGTTTGGGAGATGAGGACGAGTGAATCAAACAGCAGTTTCATTCATAGCTTCTCACAGTTAAGGACATTCCCAACTATTTTGAGAAGTGAAAAGTGAAGTGAGGTGTTCTGTGACTGGTGCTTATCGGCTGATTTCTGTGGAATCCTACGCTGGGAGTTTTCTGTTCTACTCTTCTACTGAAATCAAGAGACAGAATAACTGGGACATGCTCTTTGACCTTTGATGTGAATGAGACACACTGTGGAATTTTGATCTTGTCTCATTCAGTTACTTTGAGATGAAACCTTAACAGCATTATGAGAACTGATTTCTCTCATCATAAAATATTGACTATTATCTCACCTGGTAGCCTGACTTGTTGCTTGTCTTCCTGAAAAAGGGTTTTCTGTGACTGAACATCAATTCTTCTTTTTTTTTTTAAATCTCACAGTATGCTGATGTGGGAAAAGCTTATTTCTGCTTTCGGCTAAGCTTCGACTAAAGTCAGTATGGATGTGTGCTGGGGGGGAATCCCAGCTGACATTGGGCAAGAGGCACACCAACAATATGCCACACATAATTTGTTTCCCTAGATGTCTGAGGTGTTGGGAGATGCACTTATTTGATATTTGGGGTTTGATGAGATGATTGATGCCCCCCATATGTGTGTTAATGACTGGAAGCAGGGGGAGGGGAGATCCTGGCTCTGTCAAATGGCAAGAAAATTGGCCTACCAGCACCTTTGAAGCTCACGAATCAACACACTGTATCTCGAAAAACCCTCTCATCCAAGACGCTTCATTTCAGCCCGACTGGTGTTGAGTTGGAGATATTTATCCCCATCGGTGATGTTTCAGTCCTTTGATGCCCAACAATGTCTAACTCCTAAGTCATTATAGCCCAGTATCGGTGAGCGCTGTTACCGGTCTTTGAACCCTCACCTGTGGACCGACGCCTATTGTCCTGATGGGCATGTTTGGGCAGAGATCTCAAAACAGAATAGAGATGGATGACAAATTGTGTCTTAGTCCACCACCCCTATTTAGTGAGGGGTGTTCTATTTGGACAAAAATAGCTTCCTTGACTCCTCTCTCAAACCAGTGATGTTCTCTGGAGAGGATCTGGACTTCACTGTCCTCAAAAGAATGTCCTTTGTCCTTCAGGTGGACCAAAGAATGGCCTTCCCACATTGTATCTTATTTAATTGGTACTAAACCTTAAGTGCAAAAATGACAACTTATTATGTTTTAGTTATGTGCCATGACAAACTGGCATCTTTCAGAGGTGTTGGTTGGCCTCTAAAGCCTATACCTAATGTTAACCACCTCTATAGTTATAATTACACCAAGATCGATCAATCAAGTCTGATGATTATACCAAAAGCTGTAAAATCAACATAGTGCAAACTTGTCTCTGAAATGTAGTGGAGTCAATATATTAGGTAGCAGAAAATGAAAGTACACAAGTACAAATGCACCAAAATTACACTCAAGTGCTGTATTTGAGTAAATGTACTTGCCTTAATTTTAGGATCCACTTTTCTATTTCCAAAAAATAAAAAGGTACCTTGTGGAGCCTCTGACCAGTAGAGGAACTAGGGAGCAATGTTTTGATCTGCGGGCCATGTTTTGCTTTGTTTCTGTCCCTGCTAGCACATGCACATCTACAAGCACTCAAGTGAAGAGATACACAGTCTTGATGAGGTTCCCAACAGCTTGTGAGTTTACACATCAACAAACATAACTTTGCTTCAAAAGGTAGGAAAGGAACTGTTTAGCCAAAGTGAACATCGATGCAGACAATGCAGGTTACAAAAAAAAAAAAAAGAAAAAAATATCAGGATCTGTAGCAGAGTCTGGGATTGAACCACCTTTGGTCAAAAGCAAATTTTTATAACTGGTATATGTAAATGAGACTTACACAATACACAAATACTTCATTGGTGATCTAACACACAGTGAACTGCAGAGACAAATGTAAAATCTCTACAGTCAAAACTTAAATTTAATGTCGTCACTGTGGTTTGGCACAGAGAAAACAAACACACTTGAAACCTTTTCAGTATCGGTGCAGTACCAGGAACCCATTCACATGTCTGACTTCCCTGAAGAGAGGAACCGCGATAAAAGCAACACATATCGACCACAAGATGACTGAGGGCTCCTGCAGCAGCCACAGGAACACAACGCAAAGGTAGAAAGTGCAAAGGTAGAAAGTGCACGTCATGGTCGACAAGTCTGACACACAAATCTGAATTCAAGCCAAAAGCAGATACGTACATAATGCTTTCAAGCTCAAGTTTACACCTGATTGTTGAACTGACGTGTTGGAAGTAACAGTTCTCTTTGCAGAAATGATTCAAGCTGGACTTTGAAGGTCACGGTGCGGGCAAACCCAGCTGCCATTGGGTGAGAGGTGGGATATACCCTGGACAGGTCACCAGTCTGTCACAGGAAAATCACAAGCGAGAGAGAGAGAAAGACCATCTTCTGTCAAGAAGCACAATTACAAGGCTCATTCTACTGTCTCACTGTTGTTAAGTAGAATAATTTATTGCAGTTCTTTATTTATCCCTCTGTTTCAGTTTATTAACAATAATTACAGGTTTAAAAGCCAAAAGCATTTACAGAGCATACAGACATATTACACACACACGCACTACAAAGACAGACTTCATAATGGACGCTTGTCACGGCATGTTTTGGTAGAGGTTGCCAGTGGCTACAGGTAACACGATGCCATGTCAGAAGACGCCATGGCGCCATGTCGTCTTCTGACATGGCATCGTGTTTATCCAAACATCAGCACCGGCTCTACAGCGCCAAGCTTCTCCAGCATGTCAGTGAGCATCACTATCATTCTTCTGCTATTTACAGTAACACATTGGAAACAATAAGAGATGGACAAAAAAAATAGTATTGCTCTGAATTTCTCCTTTATCAGCTCATTGACTGTATAGAGTTAAAAATCAGAACAGTCAAGCATTAAGAAACTGGCTGAATGATCGTGGCTCGTGGTAAAGAAGAGAGGGTGTTGGAAAGCAAAGGCAGAAGAGAAAAGGAACAAGAAAAAAAAGATTACAAATGGTGAGCAGATGGGGAGAAGTGATGTTATAAAGAATCTGTGTGTGCTTTGTTCCTAAGAGTTACAAATCAAGTCATTAATTAAGGTTAAAATATACTGATGCCAATCAAAGCAATCAACCGACACAGCTGTTAGGAGAGAGAAGTTATGTTACATTCATCTCTCCCCTCGTTGGTTTACATTATTGCAGTAGTAAAGCTTTTTTTCAGCTGGTTAAAGGAGAAGGGTGAGGAGGGGGTTTGGCCCAGATGCTGAACTCAGCATCTGGTTTCCAAAAACCAAAGGAAATCCTAATGTTGGCCGAGTCCCTTTGTCATTCTTTCGGCTATTATTCAATAATTCCATGTTTTAAACAAATCATACTTCATGTTTTGGGGTTTCCTAGGAAAAAAGACTCATTATTTTGTTCCTGGAAAATAAGACATCTCAAGAGTTCACCAGAAAAACCTTTTTTCAGAAAGCAGGCAGAGCTTTTAAAGCATTTATCGATTTTGATTCTCAGGAAAGCACACCTGAGGTCAGCGCCTGAGGGGCAGCCAACGGATACATTCAACCCCGTGTGTATGTGGCAAAGTGCAGACCTGAAGACTAATGTTTCTCATGGCACACGATCACTGCATCACTCTGAGGCTGTGAGAGTTTCATCAATCAAGTGAGTTAACTTGATATTAGAGTATTTATCTCAAACTTAATGATTTGAAAATGGCAAATGAATGGATTGCTACTTTTCATGTCAAAGATAAGAACTAAACTAAATGCAGAACACACACCTACACACTGGCAGTCCTAGGTGGCAGTGCCTGCAAATGGCTGTGACATGCAGCGGTTAAAAGGCTGTGCAGCTGACTCTGTGTGTACTGTATGCATAGCGTGTGTGTGTGTTAGCATATAGTGACCGCCACCACAAAACAAGTTGTGGTGAACTGTTATAGAACATAGGACACAAAAATAGAATTTGAAATTCCCAAAGGTGGATAAACAGCTCACACCAGCAGCATGTTGCGTACGTGTGCCTTTCAGCTGACAATTGATCAAAATGAGTAAAAAATGTTGCTGGTTATGTGCATTTACACACGCGTGCTAAAAACCCTTGCATACACACAACTACACACACTCGAGTGCTGAGAAATCTAAATGTGCTTTGAGCCTTCGCTGAGCTCAACCAGTGTCTGTCTCATCTTCTGTTCTCTCTATATGTAAAGAGTCTTTCTTCATGTGCAAACACAAATGCTGAGATGCCTTCAAAAGCCTCTTCAACTATTTAAATCACACTACCTACAGATCGCAACATGAAAATATACTGCAGCCTAGTTCAGTATGTTGTAACCAACACACCTGTTTGTCCTTTCTGCAGGCCAGAGACAGATTTAAGTGTATGAACATGAAGGTGCGTGTTTTGCTTAATCTAGTTCAGGTGAGTCTGGGGATCCAGCGTGTGCCTCCGCATCTTCTGTCTTCTCTACAGACTCTGCAGCTGTCAGGTCGTCTCTTTCCTGCAGCTCTGCAGCAGAGAGCAGGTCTCTGTCCAGCTCTACGTGTTTGTCTTCGCCTTCTGGCTTTTCTCCTCCCTCTGCTTCTTCTGGTGCCTCGTCAGTGGGTGTGAGCAACTCTGTTGTTGTGTTTTCTTCTTTTACTGTCACATCTGTCTCCGTCTCATCCGTCGGCGACCCCTCCTCCTCTTGCAGCTCCTCTTCTTTTTGATTTACTTCTTCCTCTGCAATGGAAGCATCCGGTCTCTGGAGGGAGTACATCATGGGAATATGGCTGGTGCATGGATGCAGGTGTGGTGAGTCGGTGGGGGGCAGCAGCGTGAGTGACTCCACGCTGAGGGTGTCGGCACGGTCGTCAGTGAGGAGGGAGATGGTGGGCTGCGAGGCAGGAGTGAGGCTTGGGGCCAGTGCCGGTGCCGAGACTGGAGTCGAGGGAGCACAGGAGACTAGTGTCACTTCTCCACCTCCTCCTTCACCTTCTCCACTTGAGGAGGAGGGTGGGGTGTGCTCCAAAAACGTACCATCATCTAGGGGGAGAGGAGAGTGGGAGGCAGATTTTTAAGGCTTTCCACTTTGGCCCTGCTAGCATATAATGTGGCTTTTCTTTAAAGGATGAGGACACTCATTTTCTTTAGCAATGTTTTCCAGCACTCCCCATACAGAGACTAAAACCAACAGTGAACTGCCTCTACTCACTGTCACTGTCTGTTATTCCTGGATTATTTCATTCATCTGTGCCACAGCCTTCTGTTGTTCAAAAACAATTCAAGACATCAGTGAAACATACTGCTGCATGTGGTTACATGTTGCTTCATTACAAAACACCAGACACTAGTATTCGTTAAGATTATCCAGAGGTCTTGTGGGTGGACATTTGACTCGTTTACTTCAGACACTGTAAAATATTGGGGCAGTTTGGAGCCTTTGAGGCAACATTTTTAAAATAGTATCAGGGTCTAATGTTTCGTAATGAGGAAACATCACCCGGGGCAGCATTGTGCTTCACTGGTTTTACTTGTTTCTGAACAACAATGGGGATCTATGGCACATGAATAAGGTAATCCAGGACAAACTTACAAACATTAACCGTGAGTACAGTGAAATCACTGCTGGTTTTAGCCTCTGTATGTGTGTTGAAAATACTGTTAATATAGAAAATGGCCAACCTTATCCTTTAAAAAAAATCATTTTCCTGCTTTGCTAATACTATTTGTTTTTCTGCAAAAAGCAGATGTAAAGAGGCAAAAGGCGCAGCCTCCGATTTAATGTACGGCAACAAAAAAGATTAAATTCACCCTGGTATGAAAAGAAAATAACTGTGAGGTAAGGTCAAAAATAAATTCAGCAATCTCAATCGTTTGTGTGGGGCAAAACTTAAAACGTGCCATACATGCAGAGTGACGACTGATTCATACAGCACAGTGTGTTTACCAAATACTGTACCTCCTTTTTTTCATTGTCTACAATGAAAAGAATAAGCAGATCTAATCTAACAATGCCAAGCTTGTTTCAGATGTATCACTGGCTCAGAAAAGCATCTAAGCAGAAGTAAAAGAGGTACAGGGTGAACAATGTATAAGAGTGTTAGGAGCAGCCGCAGCAGCGCTAATGATCTAATAGCAACGTTATGGTTTGTGCAGGGAGAGCTACAACATCAACTATGGAAACTAAGGAAGCTACTACATAAGTATACTTACATTACAAGAGAGTAAGGATGCAGGATGAGAGACATAATACAACAGTTTTACAGTAATCACTGCCAGATCTACAAAATCAAAACTGCTTCATAGGTTACTGTTTGTTTTCTTGTTTCCACACACTCAAGCACTTTAATGCATTTTGGGGCTGACAAGATGGCAACTAAAACGATGGAATAACAGAATCCAGAGCGTAATATAACCAAACTAAGCTCCGTGCACATACTGAACAGCAGGAACCTACTGGGGCGAAGTGCACCTCAGTGACCAGACTGACAGTTGAAGGATAAGGGTTAAGCGTAAATATTTTCATCGATAAAACACCACATGCAGACACCTATACAACCGAGACAGCAGCAGCACAGAGAAACACGTGCGTCATGGGCAGCTTGTATAAAAACTGACACCAATGCAAGCTGTTGTGGTTTCTGTGGTGTGCACATATAATACTTTGTGGAGGAGGAGTGTGTGTGGTATAGCGCAGAACCCCTATGTTAACCACTCCTCAGCTACATAACAATTCCAGCAACGTCACAGTGGTGTACGCCATTAGAAGTGATAAATTATTCTATAGGGATTTTACTTTCCCTATATAGACCAGATTGTGTGTATAATAATGTTCAGTGTGGGCTCATTTATACTTGTGTTGATATCTGGGGTTGCACTGTGTGTTTGCACTACCTGTGGGGCTCTGAGCTGATATAGTGCTTGTAGTAACAGAGTCACATCTTCCTGTGCTCCCACTCCCACTGGAGGGAGGCGAGGGGGAGGAGAGGGGCGAGGGACTGTGCTGCGACACACATTGAGCCACTGCAAAACCTGGGGATGGTGCACATGAACATAAACAGAGACACAGTGTGTGTGTGTGTGTGTGTGTGTGTGTGTGTGTGTGTGTGGCTTATATGCATTTAGACTTAATCCATTCTGAGATTCAGCTGAAGCTTCATGTTATTGTAACTTCCCCACAACTCACAGAACAAGAACAGTGATCATAGATGTGGAAAACACAATGTAGAACCCCAAATCAGAAAAAGTTGGGACAGTATGTAAAATCAAAATTAAAACTGAAAACAGTGATGTGTAAATCATCTGTGTCTGTATTACACTGAAAACAAAGCAGCAGCACATTATTTGATGATGAAGGAATGGACACCGTGTGCTCCAGACCAAAGATGAAAAGGACCATCCAGGCTGTTACCAGCAACAGGCCCAAAAGCCAGGGTCCGTCATGGTCTGGGGTTGTGTCAGTGCCCAGGGCAAAGGTCACTTACACTTCTGTGATGGCTCCATTAATGCTGAAGACAATGGTGACATTACACCGTGGTAAACATCTTACTGTCCCAACTTTTTCTGGAATGTGTTTCAGGCATCAGAATCAAAATGAGTGTTAATTTTGAACAAAGAATAAAATTGATGAGGCATCACATCAAATGTGGTGCTGCTGTGTTGTTTTTATAACGGACAGTTACCCTTCTACACTCAAGATCAATTCACAAACCCATTTCCACTGCTCAGACCATCAAGTCAGTTAGAAGATAATGGAAACTTTCAAGGAAACATTTTCTCTAATCCTCAAAAAGAAAGAAGTTACGTTATTAATGAAAAACCTTATTTTTATCCATTATGTATTAAATGTCTACTGTGTCTACATTTAAAGCCAAGAAAGAGGCAATCCTGGTTATCTGTCCTTTTACCTGGTACTTTCTCTGCTGAGGCGAAGACTGATCTGTTTGCTGTGGGGTCGTTGGGGGCCCGTCTCGACTGCTCGTAGAATCTGAAAGGCAGGCCGCTGGGTGAAGCATTTGCCGCCTGATTGAAACCCAAAACCTCTGTTGCACTAGGCTGCACAGGCAGGTCCATTAGAACTGCATACACAGGAAGAAGGGATATAAGTAAAGCACATGCAGTGCACTCTGGGATTTATACTGAAATTACAGTAGAGGACTAACTTTGGGAGAACACGTCTGAGAAAAAAAAAGGTGCTCCTGTATTTGCTCTATGACTGAGTCCAGTGTAAGTGAGAAACATTATTATGTGTTTCACTGCGTTGCCAAGCAGAGTCCACATCCTCCCAGATTTTGCAGCATTGGCAAGATCATAGACATCTTCGGGGTGGCTGTGGTTCAGAAGGTAGACCTGTCACCTCCCAATCGGAAGGTTGGTGGTTCGATTTCCGGTCTCACAAATCGAAGTGTCCTTAGACAAGACACTGAACCCCAAGGTGCCCCTGGTGGGCAGGCAGCGACTGGCAGTGTCGCTGTTGTAAAAGGAATTTTAAAGTATAAAAACGGCATCTATTATTATTATTGTCTGTGTAATGCCAAAGAATTAGACCATTGAGAGAAGAAGTACAAGTGACTGATGGGGAAGTCCATCAGAATGAGCACGCAGAAAAACGTGGGAAGTCCAGAGGTTTAACTGTACTAATTCATTACTTATATGCTTATATCTGTATTCATTGTATCTGTTTAATTTCATTTAATTCACTATATTTGTTACAGTATTGTTCAAAATAATAGCAGTACAATGTGACTAACCAGAACAATCCAGGTTTTTAGTATATTTTTTATTGCTACATGGCAAACAAGTTACCAGTAGGTGCAGTAGATTCTCAGAAAGCAAACAAGACCCAGCATTCATGATATGCACGCTCTTAAGGCTGTGCAATTGGGCAATTAGTTGAAAGGGGTGTGTTCAAAAAAATAGCAGTGTCTGCCGTTGACTGTACAAACACAAAACTATGTTGTACAAACGTTTTTGTTTCTAGGATTTAGCAATCCTGTGAATCACTAAACTAATATTTAGTTGTATGACCACAGTTTTTTATAACTGCTTCACATCTGTGTGGCATGGAGTCAACCAACTTGTGGCACCTTTCAGCTGTTATTCCACTCCATGATTCTTTAACAACATTCCACAATTCATTTACATTTCTTGGTTTTGCTTCAGAAACAGCATTTTTGATATCACCCCACAAGTTCTCGATTGGATTAAGGTCCGGGGATTGGGCTGGCCACTCCATAACATTAATTTTGTTGGTTTGGAACCAAGACTTTGCTCATTTACTAGTGTGTTTGGGGTCATTGTCTTGTTGAAACAACCATTTCAAGGGCATGTCCTCTTCAGCATAAGGCAACATGACCTCTTCAAGTATTTTGACATATGCAAACTGATCCATGATCCCTGGTATGCGATAAATAGGCCCAACACCATAGTAGGAGAAACATGCCCATATCATGATGCTTGCACCACCATGCTTCACTGTCTTCACTGTGTACTGTGGCTTGAATTCAGAGTTTGAGGGTTGTCTCACAAACTGTCTGTGGCCCTTGGACCCAAAAAGAACAATTTTACTCTCATCAGTCCACAAAATGTTCCTCCATTTCTCTTTAGGCCAGTTGATGTGTTCTTTGGCAAATTGTAACCTCTTCTGCACGTGCCATTTTTTTAACAGAGGGACTTTGCGGGGGATTCTTGAAAATAGATTAGCTTCACACAGACGTCTTCTAACTGTCACAGTACTTACAGGTAACTCCAGACTGTCTTTGATCATCCTGGAGCTGATCATTGGCTGGGCCTTTGCCATTCTGGTTATTCTTCGATCCATTTTGATGGTTGTCTTCCGTTTTCTTCCACGTCTCTCTGGTTTTGCTCTCCATTTTAAGGCATTGGAGATCATTTTAGCTGAACAGCCTATTTTGTACAACATAGTTTTGTGTTTGTACAGTCAACGGCAGACACTGCTATTTTTTTGAACACACCCCTTTCAACTAATTGCCCAGTTGCACAGCCTTAAGAGCGTGCATATCATGAATGCTGGGTCTTGTTTGCTTTCTGAGAATCTACTGCACCTACTGGTAACTTGTTTGCCATGTAGCAATAAAAAATATACTAAAAACCTGGATTATTCTGGTTAGTCACATCGTACTGCTATTATTTTGAACAATACTGTATATTTACTCAGTATTGTTGTGTATAAGGCTGAATAAGAGGTGATCCCAGTGGCCTTGAGAGGGGCACTTCAGAGAAGGAGAGACAGAGGGAGCCTTTTTTGAGGTTATGCTGAGAGCTATTCATTTTGCTCATATGTCTGACAGCTGACAGTACACAGGTCAATCGGTGTGGTGACCCCTACTATAGGTCATCTGTGGATGTAAGTGTTCTGCCTCGCTAATCAGAAATGGAGATATTGCCTTTTGTGACCTTTGCAATAAATCCTATTCTTTGCTTCGGACTGAAGAGACTGAAGGGAATCGCTGTTGGTGGGTACTTGGCCCTCACTGACCCAGGGCAAGTCCCACAGCAAGAACCGGCCACAAATGTGCACAGGCACATACTTAAAACCAATTTCATACATGCAGGGTCTTCAGCTAATGCACCTCACAAATAGTAGTACTGTAAAGTAAAGAAAGATTTAACTTTTAAATCCACAGCATTAATTGTGGTAAAAAAACAAAACAAACAACAACAACTCTGAACTGTGGTGTCCTGGCAACATTTCTGTGAATTAGCATGGATAACAAAAGTGCAAGAAAAAGAGAACAGAGGAAGTCCTTTTTTTTAGAATTAAAATTAAACTGAACGACGAGAATAGAAACACTGATTCCGGGAAATATGTGACACTTTGCAGGTCCTAACAAAGATATTAGCTTTGCCTTCTGTTGGGCAGCAGTTTGGTAGATTTAGTAAAAATTAATAATTAACTGAACTATATCTGATTTGGTGTTCTGAAAGTGTATTTTTTTAATGTAAGTGGCTCTTATCCTTCTGTTGAGGATGTTTTGCTGAGGACTTGGTAAAAATGTCTGTACCGCATAACTTCCAAGCAGCTTCTGACTCACGTCGAGACTCAGTGAGTAAAGGGAAGCCACTCTGCCTTCCAGTACAAAGAAAGGGGTCAATTTAACTTCCTTTTTTACTCGCCTGCGATCCTCTGCATCTTCATGCGTCGGGCCTGGATGCGTCCTTTGGCCAACCTCTGCTTGGCGATGATGCAGCGGATGTGGTCGGCAAAGATGAAGTTGGCCTGCAGGATAGGCAGGGGCTTGGCATGGGGGTTGGAGCTGGGCCTATGGATGACAATGTTGAGCGCCCTGCTGTCGTCCTCAACGCCAGACACCTGCATGTCCTGTTCAAAGAGCAAGAGAGAAGGAGAGAGAGGGAACAAAGAGAGGAAAAGAGGGTTAGAACTTGAACGGCTTAGAGAAAATAGTTTAAAGAGAGATAGAAAGAGGTAAAGAAAGAAAGTAGGGATGAACAAGGTGAAAGCTAAAAGGGAGAAGCAAATAAGTAAGAGCACGCAAAAAAGAAAAAGGAAGGAATCATTTTTGGAATAATTTGGACTGAAAAATACAGATGTACTAAAAGTAAGTTGAGAGAAAGGTCAGAGCCTAAAACAGAAGCTAATGTTAAATTCATTAAGCAGAAAAAGGAAAAGGAACTTTATATTATATACAATAGGTTCAATACATACAGGAAACATGTTGCATTAACACTTTCACAGTGTGTCAGTTTCACAAGAGCACACTGTATATTCTGCAATTCAGATTTTATAAATTCCTTAGAAAGATCAAACGCATCATCATTTCAGTTGATCTTAGATCATATTGATCACACTGCAGAACATAATGTAACCAGAATGTAGCAAGACTAAACAGGCTGACACTTGTCAAAATACCAAGAAATGATGTTACTGTATGTCCCCTGCTGATGATACATCTAAAATTACCCATGTGAAAATGAGATGGAAAAACAACAAGTCAGCATCTGAAGGAAACTGTAAAGTACATAATAAAGATAAAGAAGAAAACACACACACAACACTTTTCTCTTACTTGCAAGAGGCCAGCAAACTTGACAACACCCCAACCGAGGCGTTTGGTCTCTGGTTCAACCAAACTCATCTGGTAGACATCTACGGCGAGGAACCTCTGGGCCTGGCCGCCCTCTTTACTGACCACCATACATGCTATTAGGTCACTGTTATCTGAAAAAGAAGACAGACATCAGTGTAAATGTAGTGATTCAGATCTGAGTACACAAAGGTCAGTAAAATATTTAGTTAATCTGTGAATCGCTTTAGTCATTTTACAACCAGAAAGAGTGAAAACACTTTTTTTTTTTTTTTTTTTAAATGAGAGGATTCCTTGCTTGTCTTTGTCATTTATCTCTGATAACCAAACATCTTTGGGCCCTGGACATTTTTTAAGAGTACACCATTAACTGAATAATCAGAGGTAGCCTTAGTTTAAAACATGCTAAAAATGTAGCTCAGCAATCTAACATAGTGTACTAATAAACAAATACATTACACACAAGGGTATAGTCCACAGTTCAGCTTTATTAGCTGGAGGTGCTATAACCTGCGGATACACAAGTGTATCCTTCAAGGAAGTTGTGCTACGGATTGACGCCCCTTTACTGGATGCTTCACATACAGAGAACCGGGGACATACACATCCCAAAAAAATTCTTCAGGTGCCAAACCAACAGTTTAAAGGCAAAAAGCTTTGTGAGGCAATTAGAGGAATTGGGATTCACCAGTCACAGCCTACATAGCTAAACACGTGAAGAGGGAAAGATCAAAAGGACAAAACTCGAAAAGGAAGCACTGAGATCAGATGAGGTTGAGGACCTGTAAACACAGGTGCTGCTTTACAATGATGGAAGTTGAAAGACTTAAGAACCAACATTGCTCTTTTGTGGCTGGACACATGGGTAAATTGTTTGCTCTTTGCTATTGTCTGACGCGCTGTATTCTCCTTTGGTTTCAGCTCTTGCTCCAGTCACTATTCTCATTGTCATGGTAATAGACCTTCTCAAATTCTGGGCGGTGTGGTTACAAAGGGAGCTGTGGATCTGCTTAGGTGCAAATATAAACAGTCTTTTGCCAAAATCATGGACTAGAGCTTTAAGTCTCACGTTAAAACAATGAAGCTTCAAAGTTTTGGCTGATTATTTACTAAAATAAAATCTTACACTAAGACACAAACACAGTTAATGGTGATTACTTCACTGGAACATATTTGACTACTAGCACAACAAATAAAACGAGGACACTGATGTTAACAGGCTACTTCTGTTTTATGTTACAAAAGAAAATCTAACAATTCCTGTTCTTTAGAAAAACCTCAGAGCAAAACAAATATGGTAAGTTTGAAATATGTTTTTATTTCAAATGTATCTATTTATTTATTTTTTATAATGAATAGTAAGCTCCCACCAATCCTCACTTCAGTTTACAGCAAAAGAAACCAATGAAACCTGTGATGACCTCATTTGACTCCACTTATTTTGGTTGAAATGTCACCCAGCTTGTCTGGCTATAAATGTGAAGTAGTAGAAACCAATGAAACCTGTGATGACCTCATTTGACTCCACTTATTTTGGTTGAAATGTCACCCAGCTTGTCTGGCTATAAGTGTGAAGTAGTTAATACCACAATGACGTACAACACCTGATGATTTTCAGTCTCATCAGATGTCTCTTCCTCTTTATAATCTTTATGGTCTTTGGTTCCTTGATTCTATTCTCAAGTATTTTGAGCAGTTCAACTTTAAACTGGTGACTCACTAGTTGGATCTATATACCCGAGCACAGTCAGGCTTTTGTTACCAGCCCCTACAGTGGTATGTATGTTTGATATGGTGGCAAACTATTTTTACACTGTTTTTGGTGTTTTTCTTATTGTCAAACCACTGATGAAACACACACTGAGGCAAGTTAATGACTTTCTCTCTAACCAGTATTAAAAGATCAATGGGGATTACCAGGAACTGAAATGGTGAACAGTGAAAAGTACCTGCAGCTGGAGAGGTAATCCCCGATTTAATATGGTATAGCAAAAGGACACAAACAGCAAAATGGTCGGAGAAAATTGGGGGAAGTAGGATGGGTCGATTCCCTAGACCAGCTGGGAAAACCCCTTCCACCTCCAAATACTACTAATGTTGTTTACAGACAAACGAAGGCAAAGGTAGGTTAAAAGTGTGGGACAGTAAACGGATGCCAAGCCAACTCGGTCCAGTAGCTTTGTGAGATCAATGAAAGAGTTTCAACCACTGAATTTGTTTTGAATGTACATTCATCCAAGCCTTTCTAACAAAGATTTGGTTTCATAAGGTAGAATCCTTGCCCCTCCCAGAAAAACAAAGTGAAGGGTAAAAACAAATCTGTTGGTTCTTTTTTGTTTTTCAGACTTAGTAACTCCATAACTAATTTAAGACACTGTGCTCTCCCTCTGTTTCAGGTACAACTAAACAAGATGCAGTATGCCTTAAGTTATTCAGTAAAAAGCAGCAAACAGTGCCGTGGAAAACTGCCGGTCTAAACCGACTGTACTGTATGTGTCCAACACTCTGTCCCTGCAAGTATTCCCCTGAGCTATCAAGGGTCTAATGAATCTGACAGGCTGCATAAACATTACTGAAGACAAACAGAACGACTATTCACTGGTGAACAGAAGAAAAAAAGAGACTCTAGTTCAGTTTCAAGCATCATATTTCTTGCACATTCTCAAGGGATAACTGATTTATAAAAATAAATGACACAAAGAGTCAAGTTTATCAAGTGACTTCTTGTTAGTTTAACTACTTGAAAGAGATTACAACACACAAAATCAAGGGATGTGTTAATAACTTTACAGCTACAGAGAAAAAGAGATTTACCATCAATACTAACTACAGAAAACTGAAAACTGTGCAATCAAGGGATGTGTTAATAACTTTACTAACTACAGAAAACTGAAAACTGTGCATGTTAAAGTATTGTGAATTAGTCACATGTATGGAACATAGTATGTTTGCTCAAGCACACCCTCACTCTTATAGTACAGTAAGGTCAAGTTTGTGCCGGTGGGAACGCAACTTCCTCCCAGCTGTAAGAAAATCTCTCAACTCCACTGACACAACCTACAGGTACAGGCATTAGCAATCTATGATTCAAGAGTTGCTATAGAGGCTGTGGTGAAACATCGAGGTGGTGGTCAGAAACAAAATGTGGTGGGTGAAAGGTGGAAGAGTTAAACCTCCCACCCCATGAGGAAAAACCCCTTCCTCTCCCTTCAATTTCACTGTAAGTGTTTTCTTAGTCAACCTGCTTACTTAAATGAAAGCCACAGTGGTTTTTAAAACCCAAACCCCAAGAGTAAAATCAACAAGCACCAAACATGGGCAGAGTTTTATCATTATTACTAAACCACAGAATGCATAAAATTATCTTTTCAAGTGACAGAAAATTACTGGAAGTTATGTCATACCTGATGAGATTAAGGATATAGTTACCTTAACCTGCCACAGACTCTTGACTGGCAAGAACAGTCACAGTTTCAACCACCAAATTAAATTTGAAAGTAAAGCTGCAGGGAGATATTTGGTTTCAATAGGTATGTTTCCATGTGTTTGTCAAGAAATTTATAAGACAGCCATGCCCTCCAAAAGACATGAGAATCTGGTGTGTTTGGGAAAATAAAGCAGGATTCAAAGAAAATCTTTCAAGAACTAAAACCTGGGCCAGTTTTTGATATCAGCTGCTTATGGGTTTCACAGGTTGTCTAAAAAGAAAAACTAGACAAACAGAAATGACAATATTCTAATGAAGAGACTAGCACCATTTGCAGACAGTATCTGAAAGCACCACTGCTGTGTCATGGGCAGAAGCCATGTTGATCAGCTTTACATCAATAAAAGTTCAGCAAATGTGTTTCCAAAAAGTACAGAGGTCACAGCTCAGTGGTCACAGATAACTCATAAGACCTGCCACCTACATTTGCCACAGATGGTAGAGTCATCACTAATTGAACAACCCAGTGGAATTTACAACACTCTTTTCTTTGTATCTATGTAAATCTATGTAAAAAACAGAACATCTTGCTGGTGCAAGTACATTTTCTTTGACAGTTGAGCTACTGATCAGTACACAAAAAGACAAGAAGATGAACTGCATTAAAAGGTGAGCAAAGAAAATGTCAGAGGAAAAGCAAACATGCATCAGAGGATACGGCTAATCTAGATACTGTATGACACGTGGTGCTAAGGGGAATTTGTGGTGAACCTTAGTGCTCTACCGATTCAAATAAACTTAATATAAAACTGAGGGAAGGGGCTCATTTCAAATAAGAGAGGGTCAGCTTCCTGCCTGCTCTCCTACACTCTCAGAGTGAAAGCAATGAGTAAATCATATATACTGCACCTGTATGTTGTACTAAATGAATCAAACACGCCCACTAGCCCTGGACATCTGTTAAACCAGCCCAGCCAGTGCAGTGTGGCAGGGGACTGATGCCTGTCCTGGCTGACACTGGGTGGGAGGGCAGGGTTCACCACTGACCTGTTGCCAGAACAGCCCAGGTCACAATCACTAAAATGATAAATAATTACTGATTCTCTTTAATAACATTTGATATTTTTTTGGTCACAGGTCAAGAATTAAATCAATTAAACTGAAATACACACAAATGTTTGACTACATTTGAAGGCTCATATTTAAGAACCAACTGCAACAAAAACCAGTACACCAACCAGTACACTTCACAACTGAAATTTCATTCCATTTTAGGATTTTGCATGTCTGCCTTAATTTCTGACAACAGAGTCAATCCTTCTGGGCAACAGTCTTGCACGAATCTGGGCAGAAGCTGCAATTCTTCAGAGATGATTCTTTTCATCTGCTCTTTGCTGGAGGGGTCTGAGTTCAATAGCTCCAGATTATGGCCTTGGTTAAACACAGCAACTATGCCTCCACCCTCCGCTCTTACTCATATACAGTACTGTGACATACAGTATACTTATTCTATTTAGATTTGTTTCTGTTAACTGCACTTTGTATGTAGTTCACTGCTAAATAAAACCTATTCAAGGCATTATTTTTGAGGTCCTCCTCACTCTACATTTAGTGCCTAAAACATCTGCACAGTACTATAATCCATCACATCTTTAATCATACTGGTGGCTGTGGTTGCTTCAGCTATTGTCTCTCAAAACATCTGTTTACATCCAACCTCTCTGTGAGCTCTGGCCTCACACTTTAGCTCCCCAGACAAAATTAGTAGAATAAAGTCACCATTAGCTTTGGTCTTTTCATGAGGTTTGTTGATAACTACAGAGATTAACAAAAGAAAGAAAGAAAGAAAAAGAAATCATTCTTACCCACTAATACAGCAGACTGTAGCAAGCTACCCTAGTATAAACATTCAGGCACTTTTCAGACCACAGACACTTTACTTTACTTGGTATGCTGCAGCTCAGATTTCCTCCAGCATTAACTGGAAGTGTGCAGAAGTGTTAACTGAGCTACAGGGTTGTGATGGAAAAAAAAAACATATTTACACCTGTATTGTAAATTGTAGTCAAAATTTCAGTGCGATTCATTGAGGAGCCACAAATGCATGCATGTGCATCAAAACAAAAACACAAAGTACACATTTTGAAAGTTTGTGCACTGAGGGTGTGTGATTACATCATCTCTCCTGTTCACGTTACTGTGCAGTGTACTTGTGATATCCTGCACGATAGCATAAACCACGTGCAAGGAACATAACATAACATTACCTGCACACCTGTGTACTTTAAGAGATAAATGTTCAGGTTATCTCTGTGTGTGGGAAGCTGTGTGCACAGATGCCTGTGAGTGTGTCCATATGCCAGCCTTGCTGCCATTGTGGTTGTCAGTGTTTGTATGTGTATGTGTCTGTTTTAAGACTGTGCCTGTACGCCATGCTGTAGCTCTATGGCTTGGCTTGCGACGAGCCCCAGCAATGTCCGTCAGAAATCTATACTCTCATTGTAGCTTGGTGAAGTTGTTTTGGGGGGATTTTAGAGGTAGCCATCCTTGCTTTCTCCTGCTCTTGTTTTAGGGAGCCAAGTGTCTAATTTTATTCCCTTGCCATTCTTAGGTTATCATTGTACCACAGCACTTAGATTTAATTTTGTCTTTAATCTTGAGAGTGTATAATATGCCTCTGTTTCTCTGTATGTGTCTTACTCAGGTCTAGGACGTCATCTGTCTTGATAAGGTCTTCAGGTCTGGTAAGAGGCAGCTGTGTCTCGGGTTCTCCCTGAAGCTGAAGCGACAGCGATCGCAACATGAAGAACACACGGATCGCCTGTGCAGAGTGGAGAGGTCCCACACAAACAATGTTAAACCAAGTTTCCTGTCTGCAACTGTCACTGAAAAGAACAACCACACCCCAAAATATCTTTGACATCAATCACAGAACACAATCATCTTTAGTGCATTTTATATTTCATCTGAGCTTTGGAGTTCCACCATTCTGGTGTCATTGCTATGAGTGTTACAGTGTCATTCCACAAATATTTATTTAGATTAAAAAAAAGTTACATTTTTCAAGTTCATATTTCAACTACAAGACCTGATTTTCAGCAGCGGCACATGAGATGTACACAGTTTAGACTCAAGTGTTGTGCAGTATGAGTGGGCGCACCCTGCGTGTCTTCTCCACATCTCCACAGGGCAGCCTCTTGACAAAGTCGATGCCAGTCAGAGGGGTGCCGGTGGGTGGCAGCAGTATTGATGCATCCATCATTAGATACTCCACATTCAGAGGTTTACTCTGCAACATATGCACACATGCATGGGTACACACACACACACACACACACACACACACACACACACACACACACACACACATACACGCACACATTAGCAACAACAGGAATATATTTGTAAGCTCAGGTCAATGGTGTTTTGCTTTTTGAGGGGGAAAAAGAAGCAAATGTAACATCAGATGAAGGCATACTAACCGTCATGCTCCTGTATTCATCTTCAAACATGTCCAGAAAGATCTCCTCGCCCTTTGATGGCATCATAAAGTTGGAATTAAAAACATCATTTTATAGGTGGACAAAAGGAACCATGCTTTGTAATTATTCACATTGCTGCAATATCATGGTCTTGAAATGTAATTACACACAATCATCATGCCAGTGCACACACATCTGGAAAAATGGAAGATTCTTATCCAGCTACCACTGTGATCTGAAAAGATGACTTTCCCAGAATCCCTCATTTGTAGTTTTCTTCACTTGGTCTATACCCTCTTAAAAGAGTGTAAAAAACAACGTGAAGTACACACACTCTCACGGCACTTTCTGGTTTCTTTTTCTGTGGTGACGATGTATTTGTTTTTTGTGTGTGTGCGCGTGCATGTTTCTGTGTTCATGGTCATACTATTGGACCATGTTCCCAGTTTGACCACATTCCTTTACTGTTGCATGACTGAATAAACAGGGGCTGCTTTTTATATGCAAATACAAAACTACTGAGTCCACTTCTTCTAAACATGATACATCATGAGCTGGCTCTGTTGAGGGCCAATCTTATGGATGCTTATGGACATGCTGTACCGAAACAAAGTCCTTACACGTCCAACCTTATCCATAATTCCACTGCAGCAAGATTTGAAAATAGAGTCTCTCACTTTATTTGTAATGCCTGGCACCAAGGGCCCCATGTTGCAAACTAGTAACATGCTGTTTCCACTTGTTAAAAGAAAGGAGCAATGCTCTACTGTTTCACTGTGCTCAATGTTTTTGTACACTGTACCTCCGTGGGAGGAAACACTGGTTAATGCAGAATTTGAAAAGGATTTTAAGCTTTTGTTTCAATCTGCTGAAAGAAGAACTTGTTTGCTTCTCTGGGCATTGATGGTTCACATGACTGAGGTGGGATCAGCTGAACAAACTCCTGTGACTGATTCCAAAACTGATATCCAACAACACTCAAAAAGAAACTGAAAGGATTTTGCCTGAGGCATATGTATGGTATATATTGATGGGAAATGCTTTCAGTTTTATTTATTTCAGCTTTAAGGAAACGGCTTCAGTTACAATAACCAAGAGACACACGCACACAGTATAATCTCATCTTAGCCAAATTTTTGGGGTTTGGCTTTCACTTGATGTGTCAAAGCCAGACAGAACAGACTTAACAGGTAATTGTGATTCTGCTGTTGCTGTCGCATGCTACTTAAGAGGAACAAGTTGTAACACCACCATGTTGTTTCTGCCCAGTTTCTTTTTTCTTCTTTTATCCTGCTTAAACTATTGCCTGCCCCAGAGGCTCCCTGCCCTTCTCTGGCCTCAGCCAGAGACATGCAGGTTCTCGCTGTCTGAGCAACCACAACAGCAAAATTCAAATTTTTCATGGTAGATTATGGCTGTCAGCTGAAATCCATTTGTGCTACAGCAGCAAACAGTGGAAGACAAACTATAAGACAACAGTCTGAGTTTGTTTTCAGCTTAGAGTTGTCCTCCCCTATGCTTTGTGTTTATATGCTGCATTCTGTATGTGTGTGGGCAGCTGGGAGCGCTTATTCCTGTAGATTAGTTGTGCACGTGTGTATACACTGAGTAGATAAACGACTGATTACATGAGAGGGTGTGTGTAACTGTGCACACTCGCCTTGTAGAATCCCCGCAGCAAATGCAGACTTTCTTCTCTTGCACCCTGCAAGCACAAACATGAAACACAAAAAGCACGGACCAGGCATACAGGAGATTACAGGCTGGTGATGGATAGGAGCGTCAACATTCTCATCTAACTCTTTTCCAGAAAGTGAATATATATACACGTTTCTCATAATGTGGTACTAGCCATTAAAGTAGTACAATTCACAGTGCTGGAATATAACACACACACACACACACACACACACACACACACATACACACACAAAAACTGATATGTCATCTTTCAGTAAGACGGAAATGTTGGCCAGTTTTCCTGTCAGAGATAAGCTACATGAATGATCAGCTACTTCCTCATGGGATATCGGAAACAACAAGCAGGGTCAGGGCAAACTTAACATAATATTTGAATTTGTATACTTTTCCTCCCCTTTATTGGACAACAGACAGTAAACAGCCAGTAAAAACAGTCATAGATCGGCAAAAAAAAAAAAGTTAAATAAGCTAACATAAAAAATGATCATAACTCCTGGCAAAACTTTAAACATGACCATTTCAGCCTAATCAAAAGGGGCTCGTCATTAATGTTAACCTGTGTCACAAGTGGGAAACTCATCGAGAAGAAACCCCCAGTGATGTTCAATTGATACCAACAGCGAGTAAGACCTTAATCATGAAACATCAGAACTAAATCGTTTTACAATATTATGGTAAAGGTTTCAGTTCATTTTTTTAATTGTGATTTTTTTCAACAATTAAATCCTGAAAATTCACACAAGCAGTAGCACAACTACTTCTTGTAATGTTGGGAAGAAACACAATAGGAATGCACAGAAACAGAAGGGTCACCCTGGAGTGACAGAAGAAAAAAATTAACATTTCCAAGAAACATGAAGAATAAAAGGCAAATGCTGTGCAGGACAGAGAGAGAGAGAGAGGGGGACAGGAAGAGGAGTTGCTGGGAGTAAGACAATTAGTGAGGGGAAATGTGTGGTCTGGATGAAATGCTAGAAGAGAGGAAAAGGAATCATCATCAAACATAGATCTGCTGAAGAATTTTGTGAGTCATAGCCATAAATGAACATTCACTGAGGAAATCCTGCAGTTTTCTGGCAAAATGATAAAGTTAAATGGAAAGAGGCTGTGTCCCTGTACTGGAAAAAAAATATCCAGGCACGAGGTGTGATTTATTGAGTCTGTGCGTGTTATGTTGACAGGACTTGATGTATGATTACAGCATGTATGTGTTCGTGTGCTGTACCTCCAGGCAAGCCAGATGAACGTCTTTGATTACACAGTGGTTTCCAGAAAGCACAGACTGTTTTAATAAGAGACAGCTCAGCTCCAGTGTTGCCAGACGCACTTTACCATCTACAAATGCATACATAAATAACATTACTAGTTACTATTGCAGTTCCATTGTGGCTTAGCAAAGCAAAGTTAACAAGGGGTAATGTACGATGTCTAATAATATATAATTACTGGGCCAAAACATGAAATGTACTCATGGTCCGAGCTGTACATTTACCTGTACAAAATGCCTTGAAATAGGTTCCATGTTGTGTTTATAAGTGTCTATGCTCCAATGTTAAACAGTAAAGGCAAGTCAAATCTTGTGTGTGCACATCTGTTACCTGGCTGCGCTGCCTGGCTCATAACTCTGATCAGTCGTTCTACCAGCACCAGGCTGTAGGAGCTCCTCTCCTGCTCAGGCACTGGCCAGCAGATCACGGTTTATACCTACAGTAGACCAGATGAAAAAAAAGCTGAATGCAAATTAGGTGACTAACAGAGTATGGTCTGGCCGGTAGAGACAGAGGGACAACAAATCTGGAATCTGTTAAACTTCTATACTGACACATACATAAGGTAGCTGAGATCACCAAGTATCTAGAAGGAACCACTGTAACCAATATGCATGTTTATAAATGAAGAAAAAGACCAACCTTTGCTGTGTGAGACAGCATAAAGCAGGCAGAGAACGAACAGGGCGTGGTAGTCATCCGTGGAGCAGTCAAGGGCACTGTACAGCATGTCTAAGAAAGGTCTGCAGAGAGAGAGAGAGAGAAAAAATACAACTTTGCTTTCATTCATTCTCTCCCCCAGTTTAACAGTTCAGTGTTCAGAAGGAGCATACAAACCTGCTCCTCTGTGTGTGTGTGTGGCTGGCTGCAGCGGTCTTCTCCTCATCAGTGATGTTCTGCTCAGTCAGCTCCGACACCTTACACTTCTCCATCACCACCATCTCTATCTCTGCGTGCACACAGACATTTTTTGGTAATTACTTGCATAAGTGTCCATAAATGTTTTACTATTCACATACACATCACACACTCAACAAAAAGGGCACTTGTCACCAGTGACTGTGAACGTACAGTCTGATGTGTTTCCTTCTTACCCTTCACTGGTTCAGAAAGCAATGAGATATCTACTGAAGAAGCAATGATGGGGCTATGCCTTCAATGTCTGTTTAGTATTTGAAAGACAATAAAATATTGATGTTGAAAACTAAATTTGAAAGCATTAACATGTAGAGGAACCACACACTGTTGTCACCAACCTTTAAAAGGTCTCTTAATTTATCAGTTTTCTTATCGATCCGTTGAAAAAGTAGGTGTCATTTTCCACCTCAAAGGGTACATGTCTAATTTTGAAACTAGCTGTTCCTCTGCAGCCCACGATGGTATTTGTGTTAAACCTTGTGTTGTCCGTGGGCCTTCAGAAGTGCCAGTGTGTGAAAATTGTGTAGCCCCGTGCAAAGACTCTTTTGTGCAAGCAGTCTAATCGTTCAAAGTAAAGAAGGAATCATATCAGATGAGAGAAATCACCTTTTTACTTTACACACACAGTGATACTAACAACCACACATGCACAGAGAGCAAGACTGAGAGACAGGCGGAGAGGTGAGGAGCACAGGATGGATGGAGTGTCACCATGAACATGGACAGGCGGCTCTGTGGGGAGGCCGTGTTGTAGATGTGACCAATGGTAGCCATGGTAACCATGGGGAAATTAAAGGTCCCACAGAAGGACAGTAGCAAAAAGAGGAGGCCTCATCTCAAAACTAGTCAAAGAGAACATTTTAAACTGCTTTCTTTCTGCTTTTAGCCTCAAGTTTAACATGCTCTCATTCTTTGTCAGTTGTATTCAGGAATGGTGCATGTCCTTAACTTGTCTTATAACCCGATGAAGAGGCTACACAGTCTAATCTGAATTTGTTAATAAATGCATGGAGATGACAACAACAAAGTTAAGTTGTTGTATTTTTTTTTTTTTTTTATCCCATCTGTCTTAAAGACTTGGTCTCTCTTTTGCTGCTGTGGTGGCTGCTGGGTAACCATGGTGCATCATGGGAGACTGTGTCTGAGTAATGGGAGTAAAGAAACACAAACACAGTCCTGTACTGCTGCGTCCAATGACACACACACTCACCTTCTGCTGTCTCCCCACTCGCTCTGCTTCCCTTAGAACTCCCACCTCCTCCTACTCCCTCTGTACCTTTTCCCTTTTCCCTCTCTCGGCCTCCCTCCCTGTCTCCTCCTCTTCCGTCGTCGTCCCAGCCCTCCTCTAGTCCTCCTCCTCCACCACTTCCTCCTCCTCCCCCAGCCCTTTCATCATCCTCTTCTTCGCCCAGGTTCTTGTAGTTTGGCCTCTTCTGGGTCCTCTTGCGGCCGCGGTGGCGGGACAGCTCCAAGGAGCGCTCCAGAGACTCTGGGGGTTTGGTGAACCGACGCACACCTCCCGAACTGGTCTAGGGGGTTAGAGAAGGACAGAGGGGAATCAGAAAGACTAGCGTGAATCACACACCTAGAAGCAAGGATCACAGTATAATTATCTTATTACGTCATTACATGAGAATCCTTTCTGGTGATTATGAAATGATGAAAGTATTTTATTCTCATGTGATTTCAAATATGTTTTTGTTTAAAATACAGCACAGCTGATCTGTGACTTTGCCTCTTAGTTTTTCATGTGTGCAGCAGTATCATAGTGGTAACACAGCACCATATATCACAATACACGCTCTATACAAAAGGCAGATAATGGTTCCAAAGAAGGGAAAGAAAGAAAATGGGACGAGCGTATTTAGTCAGGTAATGACATTGTAGATTAAACCCAAGACACCTGATAATCAGAAGAGATGAAATGGCCTGTTTCTGGAAGGAAATGTCACTGCAACCCTTTACTGGCAGACACACATGCATAATCAGACACACATGAACAGGCATGTGAAAACAAGCACCCACAAAAACACAAATAACTGATACACCTCTATCTGTTCACATAAACACAGTGCCTTACAGTAAATCCTTCTTGCACCATCTCGTTGATCAGTGTCAGTTATAAACATACCAGCCACTTCCTCCCTGATATGCTTTTATCAGACTGGAAGAGAAAAAGACCACTTGACCCACAAAGCATGCATACGCATACATGCACACACACACAAACCATCAATGGCTTTCAGGCCACTTCTGACATACAGCCCTAGATTTTGCACAAAAACACAGATATACACGCACAGGAAACAGCTGGTGAATGATAAGATGCCGAGCAGAGATGTCAACACTGCGACTTACAGTAATCATTAATGACGATACTTAGAGCTACTGCTACCAAGTTTATTAATGAAAATGCTTCACTGCTCCAGGTTAAAATAACTAAAAATGACTAACAGTAATGCAAAAAATAATAATACAAATGAAGAAAGAAATGAGTGTGTGCTCAGGTGCCTATGGAGATCAGTGATAAGTTCTAGTCCACCACAGAGAGCTGTCAAATAAAAACCAAACTCTACAACTAAATTAACATCTAAGCTGAGATTCTTGTAAATGATGACACCAATATACATATATACTAATTTGGACTTCCCATTTCCAAGCAGTGGTGGTGGTCTTTAGGTTACTGTAGACCACAGAGGCAGATCAACTTTCCCACAAACTGCCACCAGTGTTCAGTAAAATGTGACTATTCTACAAATACATTTCTACATGGCACAATGAAAATGAAATGTGCCTGAATATTGATTGGGCTGTCATGTGGCTGATGTGTGAACAAGCCAACAAAATCATGCAGACTTTGGTTGTGGGTGGTAGTTTGTATTTGCATTTTTATATGTATGTAACACTATATTCACTCTTATGACTGACTTATACATTTATGTGGAACTGGTTTAGTTATGAAGAAATGCTTCTAATGGTCCAAATAAATAATGAATACATTGTACTGTAGAAAGCCCAGTGGTGCTGCAAGTAAGTAGACACTGATACCTAGAAAATCCAGCATGAAGGCGTCTTTTGTTTCATTTCCAGAAGAAAAAGAGAGAGGATCAGGTGTCTCACACTGAAACTAGGTGCCCCTATTTCACTTAACGTCTTACACACAAAAAACCAAACACATATGAATATACATATGCACCTGGTGTACACAGATGGAAACTACAGGCCCATCCTCCTTATTCAAATTTGCACTAAGTACAACCATAGCTGCTTTTCTGAGTATCTGCACTTGCTGAAGGGAGCTGTGTGCCACATTATTCAAAACCAAAAGTTAGATTATCGTTTGAGCTGATTTCTCCAGCTTGATAATAGTGAGTGCTAAAGAGCATTTCTCTAAAAAAAACCTCACTTTATTCCTCCCTTCTACCTTATCTCTCTCCTCCACCCTCTCATCTTACCCTATTGCTCATCTCCATTTTAACATTGGCGGAAAAAAGGTCATGTAATAAATAAACACTTCATTTCAGCTCGGTCTATTCACAGAAGTGAACAACAAGGTAATACAGGAAGTGGTTGGGAAAGATTAAAATGTGTTTCAGATCAAATACGCCTTATTTTTAGACAATTGCCCTGAAGAATAATAAAGTTAAAAGAACCATTCTGAATCCTTCAGCCACACTTTAAAAACACTAATAGCTGTATCATCACTGGGTATGTCTGCGCAGCATTGTACTGTAGCTGCTGCAAAAACACAGAGTACGTGTGTGCTGTCAGACAAACCACAGACTAGTATCGGTATGTGCGTGTTGCACCTGTTAGCCGACTATGTTCTGGTAAACCGCTCACACTCTGAACCAATGCTGAGAAATTAATGGAGGTCAGGGAGCACATAAGACAAACCTACATACACTCACATGCTGAAACAAACCCCGGCACAAAGACACATAACAGCAGATCCAAATAGGGAGACATATGCAGGCCAAAAGCATTTACAAATTAACACAACTAAAACAGCTGCACATGATTTTTTTGTGGGGTGGGTGGGTGCAGTTACACACATGCAAATGTTGACATCATGTAACTGGTGCACTTGCAAGTTACCACGTGATTTTGAGGGAGAGAGAAAAAAAAAAAAACACTTCTTCCAAGAAAGAGATCTGGGTTATGTGAGCCACCTCTGTCAGTGTTCCATCATGTGATCTAATTTCCTGCCACATCACAGGTAAACAGGAAGCACCATCTGACCACCTGTGCAGAAGCAGAGCCCATGCCTCGTCAGAACAGCAATTCGATCTGATGTGGCAACAAAACTGTCCACAGTCCAGCATTACATCTGGACAACATCTTTAAATCTCACCAGATATCACAAGGAACTGTCATTTACAAGACAATGTGCCGCAATGCGCCTGAACTTCATGCCTGCAAACATACACAATGACCAACATGTGTATGAGCACATGCAGGCAATGGAACAACTGAATTTGTAACAAGTTTTCTATTCAGAATTTCAACTAAATCTTATTTGACACTTAAGAAGAGATAGAGAATCATTCCAGTTAGCTTCCTTGTCCCTGTTAAATGTCACTGTGCTTTTGAGAAAGAGAAGCCATTGAGGACCCTGTGTTAGCTGCTCAATGGCAGAACACAGGAGAAACAAATCGAGTGGAAAAAGCACAGAAACTAACAGGAAAAGAAAACTGAATTAGCCAACACAAAACCAATTCAAGCAGGTTTCCTAAAATTAGGAATATCTTTTGAAAACTGCTACGCTAATTGTTACAAACACAACATGGGACACAAAATACCATCCAGAAAAAACACAGAGACAAGCACTGTTAAAAAGAAGAGCTGGCAGGCGCTACTTTGGGTCTGGCTGCCTCCTGCTGTGGTAGACCAACAGTGTTAAGACATCACAGCTCACTCACGTTCACTGAAAAGGGAGGCTGCTTCTTACAACTGACACAAGTCTAGGACACACACACACACGCACACACCCACACACACACACCAGCACAGAGAATAACCACATGGATTCTCAGAAATGCATACTATCTCAGCACACCCACCTGGCTTTACAAACACATTGTCAAAAATGAACAAAAAAAGCGGGGGAGGGAGATGAGGGAAGAGAAACTGATTGGCAGGAAGAGAAAAATATGGAAGGAAGAGAAAATTTGAAAATGAGAGGTGAGGGGAATCAGATGGGGAAGAGAAGGGGGAGAAAAATACCAAGAGGGGAAATAACAAGAAGGTACAGGCATAAACAAAAAGTGATGTTCAGAGAAGACTTTCTTTGATTGAAGAGAAAGCACACGTTTCGAACAAAGCTGACAAAAGAAATGATGGAAATGGGGAAGAGAGTTTTCAAAAGATGGAAAGAAAAAACAACAGGTAATTTTCATATTGCCAACTTGATTTGGGTGGAGAAAACCATGACCCCGCCTACAATCATATAATCAAGACAAGACAAGACACACAGAGGAGCAGGTTTGTATGCTCCTTCTGAACACTGAACTGTTAAACTGGGGGAGAGAATGAATGAAAGCAAAGTTGTATTTTTTCTCTCTCTCTCTCTCTGCAGACCTTTCTTAGACATAATCAACTCCACTTTGTGTGTGTCTATATATGTGATTCCCTGCATTTGGATGCTTATGGGCATTTCTTATGTGCTGTACTTGCACATAAGTACATACGTTCACCTCAGTTTTTGAGCTTTAGGTCAGATGATAATTCAGCATTGTAACATTGTAAAGAAGTCAGAAAACAAGGAAAAGCATGCCATGGGCTTTTTAAACGAGTTTGACTGTTATAATGTTTTTCTGAGTGTGTAGGAGTGTTTATGTATTACCGTGTTCTTATGTGTGCTGTGTATGTCTGTCTGCGGGGTGAAGACAGACAGGTCTCCATTGAGAATAACGTTGGCCAGGGCGTTGACCAGTGGTTGATAGTGGATGATGAGAAACACCTAGAAAACAGACATATACAATAAATAGTACAACTGTTCTTCAGGTTCTGAGCTTCAGCACAAAACAACATTAAAGTGACAAGTCTCAGTTCAAATGTGAACTCTAGGTCTAGACAGAACTGTGTGGGAGATGCATCTTAAAACATATTGCCCAAATGCAGAAAACCCCACAAGAGACAAGAGCTGATTGTAGCTGCAGTGGAGGCCTGAGAGAGCATCACCAAGGAACACGATGAAGTCAGTGGGTCAAAGACCTCAGCCAGGCACGGACTGCAAAGGATTCTCCACAAATCATTAAATACTAATACTTTGTTTGACCTTAAGAAAATCTGTCCAATTCCTTTTGAACATCTAAACTTTGGGCAAATTCCAGGCTCTCTTTCTCACACAGCTCTCTTTAAACTGACATGAACATTATTAGCTTTTGTGTGTTGCTTACTTGAGACAGCAGGTAGAGGGATACCTGGGGGTTGATCCTTCGCTCTTCGGACTGAAAAAGAAAAAAAAGGTCAAAGTCATCGAAATGGAACGGAACAGAAAAATGCACGAGTTGAAACTGGAGAAAGTGAGGAGACACAAAGTCTGGGGGGGGGAACCCCAACAGTTTGATATTTAACAGTTTAAAGACCCATATCAGTGGTTGTGAATGTTTAAGTCAAATACCTGCTAGCTGCTCACACCTTCCCTCAGTACCTTAGTCATTTCCCAAAGCATGCAGCCATATAATGTAAGGTAATTACGATTTCACTAACGAAGCATGGACTAATATCCTCGGTGGAGATGTACTGTACATTCTTCCTGTGCAGTTTATAGTTAACTGCTTAGTAGGACAGACGTCGCACTTACAAAAAGTTGTGGTTGGACAGACATCTCTCGTATCAGACAAAAACATTTTACCTAGAAGCATTCAACTTTGCCAGTTTTATTGAACTGAAGATGTCTCCAGGGCATCACTAACCTGCTATAACTCCACCACCAACACCACTTCCACAACGTCCCATTCATAGCATAGTTTGGCATGTGCTACAACTACACCAGCAGCTGCCAGTGGATGGATGGCAGAGTGGCAGCATCTTCGCTTCTTGCCCTTTACCTGTCTCGCTGCACTCACCTCAGAACCATTTCTTCCTCGGTAGACTTGGCTCCAACTGATATGGTCATGGATGGTTTCATTTATGTGCTGTTGTGTAGCTAAAACTGTGTTACACTCTGAAGTCTCAAAATCATTTTTATAGACCATTCAAAACAGATAACTGTCAGACATAATAATAAATGTAATGCCATGTGGCAAGTGAAAGGTGAAGCTCTAATGTCAGACATTTGTTGCAGCGTGAAAACAGGCCACAAGGAAATATTGGCACATCACTCTACAACTTAACATTATGAAACCTCTAAAGATAAGTAACCAGGAAGAACTAGTGAGAACATGGGTTTCATTATGATCCATTAACTATTAACTGATCATATTTTCAGACAAAACAACCTGATTTTGAACTGATCTGGAACCAATGGCACAATCAGCACATACTAAAAAAAACCACTTTAGGGTCCTTTACGTCATTAAAGTAGCACTTTGCCAAGCATTCACTGGTTTCACCTCCTCAAATGTAATTCACTGCTTTTGTTTGTCATTGTAAATGGAATATCTCTGGGGTTTCGGCTGTTGCTTTTTTTTTTAAAGAAGCAATTTAACAACATCACGTTGGACTGTGATGGGACTTTTTCATTAGTCTCTCACATTTAACACACCAGAAATCATAAACAGTGTATATACACACAAACACACACTCACAGTCTCACTGCTTTAACACATTAGCTTTGGAAAAAACCTATATGTTATAACGTGTCATGTGGTAACAACTGGTGTTAACACAGTTCAGAAATGAATAGAGGAAGGTTTTATACAACACAAGCTTTCCACTTTAAACCTGTTAACATCAGCACTTCATTTAGACATGCACACGTACATGAGGGTGACATACCGTCTCTGGGCTAACCAATGAGTAGACATAGAGGGGAAGGAACAGACGGTTGAGGAGGTGGTCGGTCAAAACATCATTAAGGAATTCACAGTTGATAATGAGGATATCGTTGAGGTAGTGGAGATGGTCAAGGTGCTCCGCTACCAGATCACTTAACTTCCCTCTGTTCGTATGTCTGTGACCAAACAAAGAAGCAGAGATAGAGACAATGGAATGTTATAAAGATAATGGACGTGGTCAAGCTGCTTTGCTACCTGGTCTACAAGATTGTTATTGTATGACAAGGCGGTTACTTATTTCTTTACGCAATGTAAGGGCATCCTGATGTATGTGCAAATACAGAATGCATCGTGCCTTTGTATAGCAAAGTCCTCTAATGAGCACAGGAGTAATGGTTACAAACTAGAGGCGGGCCTGACCCCTAGAGGCCAAAGAGAGAACTACAGTGAGAAACAGAAAGACGGGTAGCACTTACTCTTCATCTGTCTGCACACACTTGTCCAGTTCAATTACATGACTGCCAATAAACCAGACCAAGTTGCTGAAATAAGGGACTGCTGTCTTATCCCGGATGTAGTGCAGCATGAGCTGGTTGTCCACTAGAGAGAGCAGGGTCAGGAACAGGAGTCGTTACCGAGACTGAACACATATATCAAATACACACACACACACACACACACACACGCGCACACACACACACACACACACACTTTATGATCTCAGAGAATTACCAAAATGTGACAGTTAAATATGATTAAATGAAAGAGCCATTCAAATTAAGAGGCAAATTAAGAATATTTATCAACCACCTTAAACCAAATAAAGTACATGAATTGGTCCAGTCAATCCATTGTTAGGCAACAGTACTGGAGTGGGATTGTGATGGAAGCCAGTTTAGTCTCAGACTGGAATGTGAACAGCCTGACTGAGACTTCTCATGGTGAAATTCTACAAAAAAAACCCCTGCTTTTCCAAATGATTTTCAGTCTGTCATCTGAGCCTGCACTCACCAACCCACAAGTCAATTCAAGGAAAATGCCTGGACAATGATAAGAAACTTCAGACAGCCTGTTTCGAATACTTCTGTTCTGAGTCTGACCTCATGGCTGACGTGAAACGTAAACAGTCCTGGTGTGGTGGCACCTTCTCATAGTAGCAGTTCAAATGCAAATAAAGGATGACTGTAATTTCAAAATGCCAATTCACAAGTGTCAAACTAAGACAACCAGTGAATGAGCAGCCAAATCAAACTACACAACAGCTGAAAACAAATGGCCAATCACAAGCCGCCTCTACTCAGACTCACACTGTCATTCCAGCTAATCCAGAATGAATGCAGTGGGAGATACTGGCTCAGTAACAACAGTGAGCAAAACTGTAAAACCCATCACCGAAATAACAAGCAACATGTGGGGCTCTGCTGAAATTAAGTCTGTGGAACAATTAACCCATGAAAAAAAAGAAAATTAAAAAGACATGCAGGTTTTTCTGTATGTATGTACAGTAGGTGAGTGACACAGATGGTTTACAAGAAAAAGAACAGCAAGGATATTCACACTAGTAGATTTATAACAAGTACACCAATAGGAACAAATAGGGCTGGGTATCAAAAAACACTGACATGGTAGTAAGTCATTTTAAGTAAACCTTTAAAATAACTTAAAATGTTGAGGCATCCCAATCAATCCACATTACAGAAACTATATTGACAAAACCATCATGGGTTTGCAGGATAATTTAGCTTTTATTTTTTAAGAATTGTATCTGCATCAGTATAGTGTATCAGCAAAATAAGCATACATTTCTAGGATACCCAGCCCCAACAAAAAGACTGAATGAATGGAACCAACTTACATGAAACTGGCGTTAGGCAGATGGGGCGCGCAGAGGGAGGAGGGAGGAGAGAGACAAGGAGAGAAGAGGAGGAGTGGTTGTTGAAGATGAGGAGGGAGAGGGGGAAACAGACACAGGGTTAATGTGAGTAAAGGGGCGGCTCTGCAGCAGTGGAGGCTGGGAAGGACCCCACAGGTATCTTAATAAATTCACTGCAAACAATGGCACACCTTGAAAAGGAATAGGATGCATATACACATGTTATATACATATACATATTACCTAGCTTATTTTTTAAATGCTTTTTTATTTAGTAAATAACACAAAAAACCATTTAAGGTTATTCACTGTACTTAAACAATATACAATCCTGTTCCAGGTTGTCATTTGTTGCAGTGTATGTCCTCAAGGACTCACTAGGAAGCATCAAACAGTGACATGCTCAACCTTATGCTTCAAAAAAAAAACTTTTCATTGACTTCTATAATCTTCAGGACAAAGTCAAGGAAAAAAAATAAATACTAATAAAATATTAAGAGCTTTCATTACAACATACTGACCCATTTTCAGTCATGTGATACTGCAAGTATGTAAATCATGGGTTTATTTTAAAACTTTTTTATTAACATTTGGGACTAATATTATATTAGGAAGGAAAGATTTTTTTTTGCCATATTAAATCACAGCTTTTATTTATTATCTGAATGTCTTTTTATGTCTTCATAACATCACAGAGCTTTAAATTGTGTTGTTGCTGAAAAGTGCTATAAAAACCTGCCTTGACTTTCACACATATAATCACAATTAATATTTTGCATTACAGCAGCGTATTGGCTTGTATAACAGGACGGGATGGGCAATGATTTTCGAATATTCGAATAGTCATTAAATTAAATATGTAATGCAGCTACATGGTTTTGTCCTTAAAAACAAAGAGTTTTCCCTTGGCACCTGGAAATAACACAATAACGAGGTTAGTATATCATTTAACTATAAGGCCAAATACAAGCGACAGAAACATGCAGAGACTACAGCCATTCAAGAGAAACAGTCACAGCACAACAGGATCAACTAAATGTGAGCTGCACGGTCATTTGACAAGTGCTGAAAAGGTGTCTCTGACCACCGATGCATGGACAGCGTTTACAGCTGTATCATATGTGACAGTCACCTGCCGTTATATAAGAAACTAGAAAATGCAGAGTGCTGTTCTTCAGACTAAAACAATGCCAGAGGCTGCATACTGCTGCAAACCTGGCGAATGTGCCTTCCACTGCTGTGGAACCCAGGGGACTTACAGGTAGAGTCACAGCATGTGTATATAGCAATGTTAGCAATATGATGCTAGCAATCACAAGGCGGGACTCTCAGCAGTGCAGGTGGGGAGGGGATGTGGTCTGTGATCTTATATATAATAATTGTCAAATAGTTCCCAGCAAATATCAAATAGCATCTTAGTCTGAAATGCCCATCCCTAAAGATGTCCTGTTAGGTGCCTTGACAATTCCAAACAATACTAAAAAAAAAAAAAAACACTGCTGCAGTCACAGTTGTTGCTTGAATTTGATTCTTCCCTCTTTGAGAGAGTCCTTACTTCAGTATTCCCCAGAGTTATATGTTTCTTTATTAATGACTTGTATTACACTGTCAGTGTAAAGTCAGTAGTGCCAACTGTAATGGCATCACTTTCGTGTGTAACCAAACCAAGACTTAGACGACATTCACATGCAGGACAAGACAAACCGGAGACAGACAGGAAGCCATAGCTGATATGTTGCAGTGACTGTATGCTGAGACACTGCTATGTATAATGAAAAGAAGCATAATGTAAGGAGGAAAGCCAGAGTGGCCAGAAGCAACATCCGCTTCCCCTGGAGAAACAGCGACCAGCTCTGAGGCACTGAGGAGCCCAGACAGTTGGCAGGAAGCAGCAGCAGAGGCTGACGCAGCACAGCCACAGGAAGAAAACTGTTCACAGACTCACAGTATCACTGCTGGACTGCTGCTGCACTCTGGGGATCAGACATTTATTCTGAAAAACCTGCTGTGCAAAGCAGAATAGATTTATGTGTGAGGGGGCGCCTTTGCATGCTGGGCAGTGTGGACTTGAAGAATTAGCTCAGCTAGACTTAGTAAATACTTCAGTGTTAGATCAGTGAAGTGGTGACAGTAGAAGGCAATGAAACATTTAAGGCCAAAAATGGAGCCGGATGCGTGTGTGTTTGTCTCAGCATTACCCGTTAGTCATGCTCATGCACCATAAGCAGCAGCAAGAAGAGGGAAGGAGTACAAAAAAAAAGGGGGTCGGAAGTTGTAGCATCCCGTGTGTGTGTGCATGTTTGTGTATACACGTGTGTGTATGGTTAGCATGTGCACATGCGTGTCCTGGCACTCACCTTTGTAGACGTTGAGTGTGATGGTACGGACTGCAATGCGGACCATGCTCTCAGGGTGGTTGAAAAACTTAATGGCCTCGGTGTACAGGGCAAAGTCATTAGTGTGCTGTGTGTGGGAGACAGAGAAGGGGCACCGGTGAGCAAGGCATGGCACCGCTGTGCTCGGGCCACATATGACCACAGAGAGAGAGAGAAAAAGCAGCTAGTGGAGAGAAAGGCCGGGCAGTATCGTATTTTGTAACCCTTGTGCCCTATTCTGTGTAATCTGGTGACATACAGTAAAAATATCAAACATCACTACTTTTCTTCAAAATGAAATGCTGACATTACAGAATGCATGGTTTTATACTGTAATGGGAGTGAGATAAAAAAAAGTGGTTTCAATGGAAGTCAATGGGGCATTTTTGGCCACGAATGTGTCAGGAGGGAGTATCTGGCACTACATAAAAATACTAAAGCAATCAAATCAATTTTGTTGCTAATCTTTGACATATCCAAGACTCTACTCACCACCCAAACCCCATCCATCTACTATGTATTATATGGAAAATAATTCATTTTTGGTGGGGGGTTTTTTTCTAATAAATATTTCAGATTTCAAATCAAACTGGCATTTAATCCTGAGAATGATTGGATGTTTGGTAGTTTTGAGCAAGTCAGTTGTTTAAGAGATTTATGAAAGAAAAAAGAAAAAAAAACTGATGTATGATGATTTAATAGCAGTTTGTTGTGCATGTACATTTTTGGCACGAATGTGAAAAGAGGGTAGTACATTTAAGTAGGGCACAAGGGTTAAGACAAGGCCTAATGCTTATGTACAGAAATAGACTGGGCGACAGAGAAGAAGTGTAAGACAGCATGATACTAAAGGAGAATTCCTCCACCTTCAGTAAACAACTAACCGATGAACAGCATTGTGGACCAACTCAAATGTAATGGGATTCATGAATGCTGTATGATTTTTTAAATAGATTCAATACAGATATATTGACCTCTCAATTCAATATATTTCTATATATGGATAGGTGAGCCTGTTTTGTTGCTGACTTGCATTCATTTCAAAAGATTAGTATTCAATTAAAAAACACTGCAAACATCCTGAAAAAAACAGCACTCAAAAAGATAGACTTTAGCTTGTAAAAGTGGAAAGCTCAATTAAAAGCAGCAATAAAGGGTTCCTAACAGTCTAACTGCACTGCGCATGGAAAACCGGCAGCTCTTCATCTCACAGTCATCTCTCTCTGTGCCAGTGCCTGCTCCTCCACCCAGCCATTCCTCAGTCACTGTGACCTCCAGCCAGTCACAGCTGAGGCTCAGAAAGCAAACTGTCACCCAGAGGTCACAGCAAATGAAGACATGTGACCCTGACACCAAACCCAGAGTCTGTACTCTAGTTTTACATATGTGACTTGTGTAGCACTTATCCAATGGTGCCCTCCAGAGGACAACAGACTATAACTCACCTAAAAAAAATGCCATTAGTTATAGTAAATTGTTGAAAAAAGGTCTGTCTACATTTTAAATCAGATTTGCCTGCAGACTGACCAAATCTAGCGAAGTGGGTATCTTCTAAAAGTTTATTTTCCAAAGGCATGTAAAGGTTATTTCAATGCAGACTTGAAAAAAATCTTTTCCAAAAATAAAAAAAAGTCATGTTCATTCCAAAAAGTCAGATCTTTCTTTTATTTATAATTCATAAAAAATATAAAGTGAAGTAAACAAGTAATATTACAAATAAAATAAACCTGCTAGAGGTTGTTTAACTCTCTGCTCTCAGACCTAAACACTGGCTTTGGGTTTGGCTTCAGGAGTAAAGCTACCATCGACAGTGCACCAATAACTTTCCCCAGCACACACAGGCCAGTGAAAGGACTACAGATACGGCTGAAACAGTGCAGGGTAACAGCATCAGAGATTAGTCAGGTGTTCAGCATTCTTTGTACTACTATCCATTACTACACACGTTGGTGTTGCTATAGTTGTGAGAACACTCACTGATGTAATGCACTCCCTTGCCTTAACCATCACAAATGCCTAACCACAAACTAACAGTCTTCTGAAGGATGAGCCAAAATGTACTCACAATGATGAGACTGAACTACTGTTTGTCTAAAACCACCACAGTGACATGTATACACACAGGCCTTGAAGCTAATACTGGATGATTCTTTTTAAATAAATAGTACAACTGTGGAAACTCCATTTCAGAGAAACAACAAGGTCAAACACAGTGGTCATTCTTTAGCAATACTGTAATAAATGCAGCATTCCCATCAAAGACGTTAACATCAACACTCATGTGCTTTTATCAGCTAGTGAGGAGAACGCTGGCTGTTGTGGACAAGGCAAAATCAACCCATCTACACAGGAAGTTGATGTTGACACAGGAAGCGTGCAGCTAGAGTGGTGGAGAGTAGCAGCATGATTAATACAGATAAAGGTCGACTTGTACAAAATGCAAGTGACAGCGTTAATTCTGGATTTTTTTTTAACTATAATGTGGCTGTCAAAAATCTTTTTTGGACACATCAATAATGTGTGATGTTGTGCAGCACTGCAAGTTATCATGAGTATTAAATTAGCTTGATCCTTGCTGGTATTACTAACTGGTTGCAACACCAACTCATTTCAGCATCTTGTATCTCGTCACTTCCTTCCGTCCTCCTTCTCTGACAGGGATTGAATGATACAAGTTGCTGGCTTTGAATAAAAGCATCTTTGTCTCACCATTCTTTCCATCACTCTTTCTTCCCTCTCATATCCCCATCCCTCTGTGGCCTCACCTCATTGTAGAAGAAGTGCACAGTGTGGTTGTTGAGTTTGAGTGACAGGGTCTTGAGGAAGGAGATATAGTAGGCCATAATCTCCTCATCTGAGAAGTCAAACTTGTGGACGATGATGGAGTTCACATGGTTGTTTGACAAGAGATAATCTGAGAAGAGAAACAAACAACTTGCAGGCTTGCAGACATGTTTTAGCACACTGAAGATCTAAAGCCAGTACTGGACAGCTTCACTGCACTAGTTTCATTTTTGCTCTACTGTTTGTACATTAACCATGAGCTTGAACTTGTGCAGCAACAGTTTTGTTGTTTTTACAGTGAATGTGACTGCTGTTGACACAATACCACAACTTTAATGCCTTACTTATTTTATATAAGATATCAGCCCAGTGTATAAATGAGCAGGATTCCATGGACTGATATTTCAACAAACAAAGGCCTTGCATTGTTTAAACTACAACATGCCTCAAAAACACAGATCTATAAGTTGTACATTTAATCGAATCAGATGTATATGTAATAAATACCAGTATGAGCATCTTTCAATATTTTTCACATTTAATCTATAGAGTAAATGATCATTTTAGCAATAATGTAATTTAATACCACAACATACAACAAAATGAAAAGTATAATATTTATTAATAAATAACAGAAACATGTTTTAGCATAATAGAAGTACATTATTTTGAAAAGTGTTCACAACCATGAGCATACCATACAACAGAGTAAAGTAGCAGTCTTAAATAATGCTCAAGAAACTCTGTATTTTTAGTAGAGCTATTCAATGAATTACATCATAAAAGTTTATTTTTTTAGTCAATCACTGTGAAACTAAATACTTACATAAGGATGTCTCATGGCTGATGTTCTCAAAGAGTATGTTGAGGGTCTGGAGAAGCTGAACACACACATAACGTCCTGACTTCTGACGCAGGATGTTCAGAAAGAAGGCAAACATATTCTTCTCCAGGAAGAAGCTGAACACATGCAGGATTCATCATTACAACATGAAGAATGTTTCACTTTTACAGCATCATGGCGAACTAGTGGTTAAAAGCATCTATCCACAATATCCCTGATTTGATTGATGCCGTGGACCTTTACTGCATTTAAACCCTTCTATCAGTATTTATACTGTGACAATCTAATAAAGACAATGTGCCAGAAACTAATCTTGAAAAGAAGACAGGAGCATGTTTGCCCGTCATTTATGTGCTGCGCTGTGATAGTATCTTGTGCTCACATGCTGTTCATTCTGCTCTAAAAGGCCTAGGCATAGGACCTGTTCATAGGACCAGATCTCAGACACAATTCAATACTTCTGAACCATAAAAATGTAATGTTTTGAAATGTAAAGTTAATTATCATAATGTGCCAATAAGACTTACTGATAAAAATGCTAACTTCTATAGCTAACACCAAAGTGCTACTGGTTTAGAAAATCAGGCATGACCATTCGAGTCTAGGTTTTTTCTAATTTCCTGGTAGCACCCAGGACTCTCTCAGCATACTCTGTGGCTTTTCTGCTCTTTAAAGCCATTACCTGCTTCATATTATAAAAGTGTAGATGGTAGAGTGGATAGACAGAGGTGGTGGCATGCAACTAGCTGTCTCAGCAATGCAGTTACTTTGCAAAAAAAAAAAATAAATAAAAGAAAAACACAATACTTCAAAGTTTTGAGTCCACAGAAATTAATGAAATGGTTCAGTTCTTTCTGTTGAAAAGAGTTTAAGTGTAAGATGCAGCTCTGAAAGTGTAACTGCTTCTTAACTGTAAACATCTTGCCAGCATAACAGGAATCAAATCAAACAGGAGCAAATCAGGAAGTTGGCTGGTACAAATACAATTTTGATTAATTCTGAATTGTTTGACAGAAAGAAGAGCTCTATACAAAGACAGCCAGGTACAAGTTTTAAATTTCCTTTTGAGTGCAAACTGGAGTATCATTATCCATCTGTTTTAGTTATAATGCAGAAGAAATGCTTTTGTTGATGTCTGCCCAATCTCCAGATTAGCTGACCAAACACTGACACGCAATGTGTGTATTTGTTCAAACGCATAAACGCAAGGTTAAAAAGGCAAGTGCAGTTAATTAGAGAAAAGTCAAGAGAAAGCTGCCACTCTGAGACCCATGCAGGTGTCACATCTGTATATTTACCGCTGGCATTTGACATAAAGATGCTGGATTGTACTTACTCAAACACAGAGCTGTCATTCTGGTCCCCCCAGATGAGGATCTCCGTTATGGAGCGGATTGTCTCCACAAGTAGGTTTCGGTTGTGATCTGTCACTGTGGTGTTTTTGGTTAGGACATGGTACATGTACCTGATGGAGAGACAATGTGTAAGATGAAAGTGATAAATGCACAGCCAAGTTGTTATTGATATGTACAAAGCTATCTTTAAACTTAACAGCACAAAGTCAAGATCACAGTGATATCTGGAAGCTGCTCCACAGAAGAGAAAAACAAATCAACATTTAGGACACCAACAGTACCAGAGGTGATTTTACTGGTCAATGAAGAATACGACTAATTCACAGCTGTAAACTCTGCATTCAAATAAAAATCTTCTGGATATCCAAAAATATGTATTACTATGAACCCACAAATACAGCTCCTAATTCTGAGTCATCTCTAAATCCCTCCCTAGCCCCAAACAAGTGTTTTCACTTATTGTGCCGGATTAGACCTCTGTTCAAGACTATTAGTGTAAGCAAACTGACTGACTGATATCAACCCCGCTGCCTTGTTATGTAGTTGCACCTGTTGGGGTGACACAACTTTTAGGTTTTGTCATTCTACATAGCGTCCCCCAAGAATATCAGTAAACACCTGCGCAAGACCCTTTAAATACTGATGCTTCGATTTTCAGCTTACATAGACAATTCATGATCCATGTTAGCTGCTAAATTTATTGCCCAAACCCATTAACTTAGACTAGTCACGCTGCAATATAGATTAGTTAAGTTTTAAGGGAGTCTCATTTTAAAGCTAACAATTCCAGGTTCACTCACATGTTTAAGGTTATACCTATTTTACCAAACAGCTACCATAGAAGGCACTATTGGTCAGCTAAAAGGCATTATTGGTCAGCTGAATACAGCACATCTACAGTTAGTTAGCGAGCTACGTTATTATTGTTTTAGTTGTTAATGACTAATATTTACGCTGACAGTCGTTCTCAACCGGTTGTCGTACACGCTAACGTTAGCTTATTTAATGCTAGCTACTCACTTCAAATGGTCCAAAGAGTGGATGTTTTTTGTTTTCCCCTGTCCTCCAACCCAGCTCCGTGACCGGCCAAACATAGTTGCAATTTTATGGGGGTAATACTGTTCCAGGCGCGTTAGTTCGTTAAGACTAGTGTACACATTTGTCCATTACACCCACTTTCCTGTACAAATAGCTACTTAACAAACAGAAGGCAATAAGTGGCGATATCTGCGCCGAGTGGTCATTACGTAAGGGCTGTTGTGGCTGGTTTATCTGGGAGTTGTTGTTCTTTTGCCACAATAGACATAACAAGAGAGAGTGAAGAAAAACTACAACACTCATTTCCTGTGTTGGCAGTGTCGATTAAAGTACGCGACACGGCCTGCGGAGAAACCAATATGTTGACTGACACCTTAAAGGCCAATCACAGCAAAGCTTGCGAAGCGGCGAGCCAATCGCATGTTGAGGCTTCAGATGTCGCTTTGTGGTTATGACTATTCTGATGCAGTTGGGAAAATGTTAGACGGGATGTTTATCCGTGAAAACATCATCAGAAGCTTGCACTTGTGAATGTTTCGTGTTCCCCGGTACGGATGTGTATAGAAGAAAACTCCAGCTGCTATGATTGTCTGTGTTAGCGTTGCATGGTACTGTTTTTAGCTCTAGGCAAATGCGTGGCGTGAATAGCGCAAACTCACGAAACCAATGTCAAGAATGCGCCGAGCTAGCTAAAGTGACATTTTGACACGGCCCACCGTTATTTTTAGCCATGACCGTTACGTGTTTTAGTCTATCTGCTTTGCGGTCGTTATCTTCTGGACCGTACAGATAAAACAGCAGCTGGATCTCAATCAGTGTTTCCAGTTCGGGACGCGCTGAAATGGACGCCCCAGCTCCATCACCCCAGACAGATTTCTAGGGGTGACATCAGGAAATCTACCACATCCCGACCCTGTACAAACACCAGAATCCAAAACGGTGACTTTCTTTCTTTCTATGACACACCCAATTTATGCCCAGCTAGATTCGGTTGAATCGCTGTTTGGCGAACTCCCATATATGTTTTATCTGGGCCTGTTCTTTGTGAACGTCCTGATCCTCTACTATGCCTTTCTGATGGAGTACATCGTCCTGAATGTGGGGATAGTATTTCTGCCCGAGGACATGGACCAGGCGCTGGTGGACCTCGGGGTGCTGTCCGACCCGGCCTCTGTCCCTTACGACACGGACACGGAGTTGGATGTGTTTGAGGGGTATCTGGAGTGACGAGGCGGTCCTGGAGGAAGAACAGGGGACTTTAGGTGGTGGTGGTGGTGGTGATGATGATGATGATGATGCAGAGGTCCGGGTCAGATTGGGCCATCGTGCATAATCCCTGCACAGTGATGTAGTGGAAAAAGATGTATCAGTGAAAAGGTAAGCAGACCACACCAGAAATGATGCCCTTTGAGGCCTGTTTTCTGTTTCATGCTCAACATAATATAGTGAGATTAGAGCCTTGTGTATTGTTAGACAGGGCTGTTACCCTACAGGGCTAACAGAATTTACTTTAACCCACCTGTTATGTTCATTTTTCAGGAACAGCAGTGATGTTCCTGGATTAATTTTACCATTACTAACCATTTCAATCACTATTTAGTGCAATGGTGTTCTTTACTTCTCACAGATTATGGTTAAATGAGAATAATGCACTCGTTTTCATAAAAAAATGCATGTTAAAACTTTTTTAACGTACATTGGAAAGACCTGCATATAAAAATACATTATTTTTATATGACAGATTTTTATTTTATTTTACATTTTGAAATCTTTTCTTTTTATGACGTGATGTTTTGTTTGTGAATGTTAAAAGCCATGTTAAGCCACTTTAAAAGCCCCTCTTTGGTGATTTTCTGTAACATTTGTGTCTCACAAGTCTCCAGAAGGTTGAGTCTTAAAAGAAGGTGGCCTGAGGAAGAGATCCAGCACGACCAGCCGTACGATCAGCGACTGTCCCACTGAAGAAACAATGTGCATCGGATCAGCTGGCAGTCACTCTGCTGCCACAGCTGTTGACTCCAGTTGGAGACCAGAGGGCTAACGCTGGCACCCATGTCCCTCCCTTTGGACACAAGGAAAAAGACAGCTGTTTTTGTGGAAGAAAAATGAATGATTTCAGAGATGTGGAGGATTTCATCTGCATTGCAACCAGTTCAGATACAGCAACTTGGTATTTCTACCAAACAGTTATCCAGACTGTGCAAGATCTGTTTGCAGAAGGAAATGACTTGAAAGTTTGTCACTCCAGCTGCAATGTGATATCCTACATTGTGAGGCATCTCAGAAGAACTGATGAGCAGGAACATAATGTAGAATGTGGTCTGTCTCATACTTAATCACTCACAGCGCAATTTCTTTAATCTTAACTTTTCAGAATATTGAATGCATCGCTGCTGTGCAAGCTCACTCATCATTGAGGTCATCCATACTGTGTGTCTGCTTCAGGGATGTACACACTCTCAGGAGCACAGTTAGGAACACTGGGGGTACTGGGAAGATAAAACACTGGATTGTCAGACTATAAAGCATGTAGAAGTGCCCTGAACTCTACAAGCGCTCAAAAGCAGGAGCAGTACAGTGTAATACACTTCTAATAACTCACCTTAATGCCAGAAGTAATTAAAAAAAATGGAGTAATTCCTTTTAGCTTATGTCACACTGGATAATTGGGACCATATGCAAAATGTTATTTTCCACAAAATAAATTAACAGAACTAGTTTAGTTATGACAGCTGTGGTCACATCTGGCTTAATGATAGCAGTGGGGTGGGGTCAAATGCTCAAACTTCAAAGAGAAAGAGTGCTTCAGATATTTGATGCTGATCCAGTTTAATCTTATACTGTTACGTTAGACATAGATGAGACCCATGGTATTGGCTGGATTTTAGCAGCCAAAATTCTGTTTTATCACATTTGTGTTTACTTGTTCTGAATTTAGTATTGAAATGTTTTTTCTTCACAGCAATAAGAAACTGGATTCAAGCATGGGGGCAACAGTCAAACAAATGAGATCACTAATCAGTTACTCCAATCATCTGCTTGGTTTTGGTTGTGGATGGGTGGAACAAAAATCGCTTCATGTCAGTGACATTTGTAAAGGGATGGTTCATTTCATAGATATTTGTGAACCTTGAAAGTGCATACTGTAGGTGTGTGACGAGTGCTTACAGCCCAGCTAATTCAGTAAACACTGATTCCTGGAGGCAGTCCAGAGGAACCTATTCTTTCATTGCATACTCTATGTGTGTACCAGAATAAGCAAACTGAGCATAATAGTCACTGCAGTGTAGCTGATGTCCATCAAATATCAAAAGCTGTAAAGCTGAAAACCTTTACAGAACATTTGTACATGCACATTTCATTCTCTAAGCTTTAGTCCACAGTGTCATTGCCTGTGACTGTGTGTTGAACATTACACTCAAACAACCAGGGTGACCCTGCTCTGCTGTCCCCAGATCAGACTGTTCACATCACTGACATTAAACATAGTCAGGTGAATCGTCTGGTACTGTGCTGGAACTCCAGAACAGGAGTGTAAAGAATCAAACACGTGGATGACAGCGCAGTCCGACTGTGTAATGCACATCATAAATCCTTATTTTCAAAGATATGGAGTTCAACAAATATAGAATATTGATGGGTTGTAACTAGACGCGTTCGCCTTTTTGGATTAATGCTGTTGTTAAGCAGTATTTTATGGTGATGCTTCTGAAGGTTGAACTTGTCAGCGTAAATCAGAATATTCATAAGAAGTCTGTTTTTGAAACAGCATTTAGACCACAGGACACTGAAGCTCAGGATACTAGTATTCATTAAATATTAAAACAATGTTTGTATGGAATTTAATCAAAATTCATAGAATGAATACCAAGTCTTCCCACAGGTGAGCAGTCTGTACGTAAATGTTCCAAGAGAATCTGCATCATGCTGGAATGGACAGCATGAACAGGTGATATCGGGTTTTTTTTTTTTTTAACTAAAGGTCAGTGTCAGTATAATAATGAGCTGAGTAACTGAAAATAAAAGTCACACTGTATATTGAGAAATCAGTATCAAGTGAAGTTGTTAGGTGGGGAGTAGTCGAGATGAACACTGCTTGAGTCATCACTCCACAGCTGCACCTTTGCAGACACGCACATGCTACAATAAGCTATGAATCATAACAGAGTTTTATTTTCCAACGTGTATTTAATAAACTGAATGAATGCCAGCTTTTTGACTCTTTCTTTAGCTTCTCATTTTAGAAGTATATTTGTGGATCTTCCTGCATTAGATGAATGTTTGAAGTGGACATATTCAGCAGCTGTGCTCCATGTTGGCGCTATCTTATATTTTGTCCACAAGAAGGCATCAAAGCACCAGAGATTAACAGCGGCTGGTTGGGGCGTGTTGATACTGCTGGTGCCTTTAAAGGAAACCTTCAATGGGTCACGCTGAGGTAGTGTGGTTTTCAGGTTTTTTAGAATCTGCAGACTAAAATGTCTGTGCTCGACAACTGACGTTACCTGACGTCTTGAGGTAACATAATGAGCCACGTAGCCGTGATTGTACCTCACCATTATACTATTGCGCATACAATAAAATACAGAAAAACCGAATTTAATGACGCTTTGAGTGTGGCTTGGTCCATTTACATGTTAGCCAAATATGGAGCAGCATCATCTTGAATCCAAACACGGCTCAAAGGTCAGACTTACCATTCTGGGTGAGTTCGTTTGGATGAGGGAAGTGGCTCAGAGGTCTGATGGAACCAGCTTTACAAGAGAAATCAAAGCATCAGACCCTCAGATATCCAAACTTTTTTTAAGTATAGGTCAGTCCTCCAAAATGCCCACTCCTACATTTTCCCATAATGCAACTCAGCAGCCTCCCTGACTGATAAACGTCCACGTCTTTCAAACTCTACACCCAGGCTTTCTGCTGTCATCTCCAAACCTAAATGAAAAATTTTAAGACTTTGAAATGCTATTTTCAGATTCATAAACATTGAATTAAACCCTCTATGTGACCTAAATTTACATCAATGTGTAAAGTTGCTAGAGTAATATAAATCCTAAGAGTCATCAGAACAATTTATAGATTTATAGAATAGATTTTTCCCCGTATTTTTCCATGACATCAAAATTAGGGACCATCTGCCTTCATTACTGCACCTGTAACATTTTGGTGGTCAGATTGACGCAAATAGTTTTATTTTAGCCAACTACGCAGAGCTGCAGAAAACACACGAGTGTTAAATGTCAGCTAACACCAAAAAAAAAAGAGAACAGAAACATGTTAGGAAGGAAGTGAAAACAAGTTTTTAATAAACCTTTGAATTCAGTAAACATGTGAAATGAACAGATGACACAACACTTAAATGGTGGCAATGTGAAACATTTTATTTAACATACTGTACATTAAGATGTCTGGAGAAAGCCACAAATGTACAAAACCAAAAATACAAACACAAAAACAAAGAAGTATAGTGGGATGCCATTGGGACAATGGCATCAGACAGAAAAAAAGGTTTTAACTGATACAAACCAACATACACTTCTGTAAAAACAATATAAAAATGATCATAGTGCAAATGTGCATCTACAGTTTGTGCCAAGCATCACCAATCATTTACTACTGTGTATACCATGTGGTGGTGAAGGATTCATAGTTTTCTTGTACAGTAGCACTGAAATTAATCTGAGAAAAGAATTTGGTAAACTGTTAAAGCAGCAAATAACCCTCCAGGTTTGGTTCCTTTTAGTGCACTTCCCCTCTCTCATGCTCACCTCATGTTCCTGTTGCAGTCTATCAAACAAACATGCTTTAAAAAATGGACTGTGTAGTGTCAACATGAATGCATGTCATGCATGATAGTACGTTTATAGCCTTGTAGTACAGAGGTTCCACATTGTTCTAGTGACAACAGATCCGGTTGTCCTGATGCTGAAGTCTCTCAATCACTCTACAGGACATACGCTCGTTCCACATCCTGAAGTGGGATGAGAGGAAACAAGAGACAAGGTGAGAAAAGAAAGATATTTGGATAAAGATAAAGATATATTTTGAAGTAATATGACATGATAGGAAAAGAAATGAGATGGGAAGCAATTTAACATCTTGCCTAGAAAACTATCACACACTCACCTTAGAGTCTTAATTTTATGACAGTTTCTCAGGCTGTCTCCAAGACTTTGTGCTCCAACATCTGTCAGCTTGTTGAATAATAGACTGTCAAACAGGAGGAAACAAGCTTAGACAGGAACTGTCATTATCATTATCATTTTGCATCTTCTAATATCCCTGCTGACCACTCGACAAACGACTGAATGTCTACTTGCATCTGATAATATTTCACTGGTTCCTCTTTTAATGTGTATTTAAATTCCTTGTGTGCAGAACCTTTGTGTGCTGAAACATTTTTTAAAAATTAGACATATATTTTTCTCATTTCTATTTCGTGTTTCTGGAGTTACATATACAAACATACTATGAGTATGAGTTGTCCTCAGCACACAAACACATGTAGGTGCAACAAATGTCTAATGGAAAAATGAGCTACGTAGACTTACTCCAGGTCAGTGAGAGCATCCATGTGTGGGAGGACAGCTGCTAAACTCTCTGCCCCTTCGTCAGAAATCACATTTCTGAAGAGACTGGACAAAAGAGAAGGAGGAAGATGGAAGTGAAACTCTGTGGGTTTACAGTATGTTCCACTGTGGCTGCTGTTGTATGGGTGTATGTTTAAATTATATACCTTAAACAGCGCAGTTTAGGCAAATCCCTCAATGTGGTTGTGAGTTTCTTCACCCCACAGTCACCGATACAATTGTCTGACAGACTGGAAACCAGAAAGAGGAAGTTGGTTAAACTTGAAGCTCTTACAATGTTAAAAAGTAGGTGACTGTTAGTTCAAATGTTCTGTTTTTTATAACAACCCTAGGCTGAGAGATTTAAAAAAGGTGGGGAGGTCAGCATATTATACTCACTTGAGTTCTTCCAGGGAACAAAGTGAGACCAAAGCATCAGCCAGTTGCTCTGCTCCTTTGTCCCTAATCTCACTGTTCTCTAGACTGAAGAATGACAGAGACAATGAGTGTCAGACACTGGGAACACACACATACTGTACAAACACATAAACACATTTTCCACTGTAGGCACCTGCCAACCCATAACAGAGCTTGTTAGCTGTCACCTGCCATAACCCCTCTGTTTAGAGGAGGGAGCACCTGCACTCCTCTCTCACACTCACAGCTGAGCAGAGGACCTGAAGTATCACTCCACAGTGCCACAATCTGCCAGTAGCAGAGACTGTGTGAACAGTTTATCAAACAGCCACTGAACAAGCAGAACACAGACCTGCTGAAATGTGATGTCTGTGCTGCTTTTCACGTGGTCCACTCACCGAAGTCCCCGTTTTATCTCTAAATTAGTGAGTGTGTTAGCACACGGCGCTTGTAGATGCTAATAGTTGATAGCTCTGTTCGCACGCACTGCCTTCCCCCCTCTTGGGGTCCTGGAACTTTATTTTAGTACTATCCCCTGAAGGGTGCCAAAATTTAGAATGGAATGCACCTCCAGAGCAGATGGAGGGCAGCGGAAAAAGAAATGTTTCAGTAGGTTCCTATGAAAGAAAAACCCCATAAGAGACAGATGAGGTAGGAGAGAACTGGATGTAAGTGTGTGCATACTTACTCTAAGTGCCTTAGGTTCTGTAAACCTGGCAGGAGCTCCCACAGCTTGGGAAGACCTAGGGGACCTTTCTCTGGACCAAGCCTAGAGGGACACGTCATCATCATCATCATCATCATTTATGTCGTCATCATTATCATCACATTTTCAGATGTCAAATGTTGGAGTTACTCACTCAACTTGCAGCTTATATAGCTCTTTGACAGCTGGTATTCCCTCTGCCAGGATGGAATTTGATTGGCTGGAACTACAAGTAAACATAACACACACAGACACATTAAGCTGTTATGAGGTAAGGTATATTTGAGTGTATTTGTGTGTGTGTGTGTGTGTGTGTGTATTACCTGTCTGACAGCCTCCTGTGCGTATGTATGTTCACCAGCTTTGCCAGGTGCTCTATGTGACACACCTGTGTTGCTTTCAGAGGGTCGATCTTGAGTTTGGACACTGCCCCTTGTAGGAGCCCCTCCTCACCACTCTGCTCCAGCTGCTCCCACAGGGTGATGACATCGGCAATGCAAGCCCTAGGGGGACACCCAAAAGTTTCATAGGGTTTCACACTGGTATCACTGGGATGTGATACAAAATGGACAAAAGTGTTTTTTAATCAGGATATTTAATATGAAATACTTGGTGTTTGTTAAGTCCCATCCACATCCCTCCTATTACTGCTATATCTGTCAAGTTTTCCATTCTTGACCAGCACTTTGCAGATTTAACACCCACATTTCCACAAAGTTTTGATACAATTGGTCCTTGATTTCAGACAGAGGTAGATGCTTCTTATTTCAAATTGTATCAGCTGTCAAAAACTGTAGCTAACGGCGCTAATGTTATCTTTGTGAACTGGATGTGCACTGACTTGGAATGTGCACAAATCTAAATCTTAACAGATCTGCTGTACATTGTTGATTTGGAGGAGGTGGGTTGCACAAATGCCAAGCACCTTTTTGAGATGTGGACTGTAATCGGTACCTGTATGTGTTGATGTTGCTGAGTCCCACTAGAGCTTGGAGTCCAGAAACATTTATCCCAGAATCCTCCACGTCTAAACAGAAACTTCTGCCTTCAGTTCCACCCCTGCTGAGAACATTCTGCACTATGAACACATCTGGCGGGTTGAGCGAAACTCCATGAAATGTCAGCACTTCTGGAAGATTCGATGCCAGGTGAGTGAGCAGTCGTGTGCCACCACTGTCTCTACTACCGTTGCCATGAATGAAACTTGTCTCGTAAACATAGTGGCATGCCTCCAGGACCTGGGCAGAGCTCAAGTCACCATGGGAAAGACCTTCAAGGTGTTTTGTTACTAAAGCCTGCTTGCTCCTGACCATATCTCTAAAGGCTGTCTCTGGGTATAAGTGAAGTCCCTGCAGCTCTGTTCTGGTGTGGAACAGTAGGCCGATTGCAAATCTTTGAGTGAGTTCGAGTTCCTCTCTTTGAGGTCGCCGGCGTCCCTTCTGGCCTGACTGGAACAGGAGGGTCTGAAGGAAGCTGCGTTCTGATACAGTCCTGGGGAAAAAGAAAGTGAGAGTGGGTCAGGGAGATTCAAACAAGGTAGGGCATTGAAAGTGAAAGGGAAAAGAAGCTAAGAGTGGAAAGGGATATGCTCTTTCACTTTTGATCCAACATGGGACATGCAAGCTTAGAATTGACTTGTTTTAACATCGAGCCCTTCAGTCCATTCTATCATTTTTATTTTTTATTCCTGTTAATCTAATAGATCATTTTCAAAAAACTGTTTTGTCTACTAAATTATTTTTACCTTGACAAAGCCAGATGGACCCCTGCCAGGTAACTCTGAAGGAAAGGGTTGGCCCACAACATGATTCGGTCATCACTGCTGTCGGCATTTTCGATGTCTGTCCTCCATCTCTTTCCCCTCCCTTCTTTTTTCTTTTGTTCTCCTATTTCCTCTTTGTCCTCCCTTTCTCCTCCCTCCTCCTCACCGCTTGAGACAACTGGCTTTGTTTTTAGGGGGTGAGAAAGGAAGAACCCTGTCCTGAGGCCAAACGCCTTGAGTTTGGCAGATACAACTGTGGTAAGTATGGAGGAGCTGGCTTTGACCCCATCCCAGGCCAAAGAGCTGAGCTGGATCAGCAACTCTGTCTGTTCTGTTCTGTCGGCCTCCCTTTCAACACTCTCCATCTCCTCTCCGTCCACTTCAATTTCCTCCTTCTTCTGCCATTTCGCCCTCCTTGTGCTTTGGGGGCGAGAGCGAACCTGCACTCTGGACTTTGTCTGAGTCTTACTGTAGCGCCTCTTCCTTTGAGTATTACTTGAGATTTGTGTCTGGGTTTCTTCTACAGATTGCAGGGATATTTGTGCTTGAGCTTCAGCCGGTGAGTTGGTGCTGTTCCTGTCTAGTTCCATTTTCAGACGAAGTACTTGATGACAGAGCCCAGTTAAAGTTCTTGGTAGGGCCACCAAACTTTTAGTCTGTTCTAAAACCAAGCACACCAGTCGACAAAGACTGGGATTCCAGCAAAGCAGATGAAGATAGCTACAGCTTTTTAAGCGGTCCAGTGCAGATGATCTGAGGGCAGGATCAGTGAAGTACTGGGACATGTATGTCTCTACATCTGTGGGGGTGAATCCACAGACCTCCAGAAAGCTGTCCACTCGCCGCAGTAGCTGGCTGGCAGCACCTCTTGGCCGCGTAGAGAGCAGAAGAGTGCAGCCAGGGAGGAGGACCTTCTGAAGGATGGCAGAGTATAAACGTTTCACTGTGTAGTTCTGGGCTTTACTGTCTTTCTGAAATGAAGTAATCAAGTCCTTTTCTTGAGTCTGGAGCAGGATTTCATAGTCCCGCAACCCGTCAAACCCATCAAAAATGATGAGCACACGCTTAGGGGCCGCAAGAATTTGAGCGTACACTGCATCAGGGTCTGTGCAGGAAGGTGCAAACGAGGAAAGGTTTAAAAGGAGAGTCTGAAGGCTGTAGGTCGACTCCGTTAAAGTGAGTGCTTTGCTGTCTAATACGAAGACAAAGTCAAACTGTGGGATGCTGTCTCTGGACCAATCAAAACACAGCTTCCTGATCAGGGTGGTTTTTCCCATGCCTGCATTGCCAAGTAGCAATATGGGTTTGTCTCCTTTTGAGCCTTCAAAGATCTGAGCAGAAAAAAGATAAACAAATATCTTCTACTAAATTACAGCCAGTGATTTCATCAATGTTTCAAAGTCATGTAAACATGTAAAAACACTCAGCTTCACAGAGGAGTCTCACATTTGGCTGTGTTCAAAAAAGTATAGCACTAGATGAAAAAGTGAAACTCTTACCTGCCCCAACGAGCCTTTTTGCCGATTTGTATTTCCTATGAAGACCAGCTCCTTGTCCGCGCATTTATTTGTGTTTTTTCCAGAGCGATGAATCTCTCTCTGACTCACTTGCATATCAACATAATGAGAAGTCAAACTATGGCCCTCCCCAATATCCTGGCAGGTCTGACTCATGTGGGTTCTGGCTTCCCGAATGTAGTCCTTTACAACCTCTGAACAACAAATACAATTGAACATCAAGCTGCTGTTCCACAAAAGATGATTTGCACATAATGCAAATGTTTGACCAAGGCAGAAGTGATGGAGTTAAAAACACGGGGTAGCTTACGTGGAATATCAAGGACAGCAGGAGACTGGGGAAGCTGTGGTTCTTTACATAGAGACAGTTCTGAAATGTAACAAGTCATGATATATGTTACATGGCAGTTAACTCTACAGGATAACTTATGCACAAGGAGGAAGGAGTGAGACAGATACTGATAGGGCCCATCACTGGGGGAGAGTGGTGAGGTACCAGTGGGAGACATGGCTTTGTTAGCAGTTTCTGATAAAGATCCTGATGGGGATGAACTCATCTGGATTGGTGCTACCGCACCGTTCACTACAAGCACAAGAGAAGAAAGAACATAGCAGTTGGTAGCGAGTGGGTGCCTTGCTGGTGCCTAGGAAGTAAGACTGTGGAATGTGGAATATGAAGCCATAACCAATGTAACACTGGCAGACTGAGACATCTGCAAAGCGACAGGTGACAAATGAAAGGACAAAGCAACATAAAGAGTCTCAGTGAGGTGCTGGGCCTCCATGTGTCACCAGAACAGCTTCAGTGCACCTTAGCAAGTTTCTGAACTCTACTGGAGGAATGGACGCCATTGTTCCAACAGACATTGCCTAACGCCTCACTCCAACATCTCCCACAGCTGTAAAACTGGGCTGAGGTCTGCTGACTGTGAAGGCCACAGCATCTGATTCACATCATGTTCAACGTCATCAAACCATTCAGTGACCCCTCGTGACGCCATTGTTCCAACAGACATTGCCTAACGCCTCACTCCAACATCTCCCACAGCTGTAAAACTGGGCTGAGGTCTGCTGACTGTGAAGGCCACAGCATCTGATTCACATCATGTTCAACGTCATCAAACCATTCAGTGACCCCTCGTACCCTATCTCATCCTGGAGGAGGCCTCTCATTTATTTAGATTTTCCCTTGTATCTTGACACCTGTCTGTACATGCATGAAGTAGAGACAAACATATACACATGCACATCCCATATTTAAGAGTTTTTTTTTACTCACATGGGGAGAGCGGTGGCATTTGGTGTTTGTAGGGTGGTGAAGCAGCAGGAACTGTATTAGAAAGAGATATTTATGTACTGTTGATGCAGTGTATGTGCAAAACACAGACATTCATGTGGTGCAAGTGTATTTCACAGAGTAAGTGCAAGAAAATTAAATATGTAATTTAACACTAATTTGAATTTAGACAATAGAAATAGTTGAATGGGAAGACGTTCACAATGTAGAATTAGACTCAAATCTTTTGGAAGCTTATTCCAGGCTTGAGTTGCATAATCACCATATGCAGATAGGCACTGCATTGCTATCATACAATTTCATACATTAAATACTAACACAAGGAGTTGTCAGTTATTTTCAAATCCTTGTGGTTTAAACGTTGGGGGATTTAAAGAAAAGATGCCCTAAGACTGAGCCTTGGGAGACAGGTCACGTCAACATGCGACCAGATCCATAACTGCTGACAGAGACAAAGTAGTACACGTCTGTCCAAAAGAGTACTACAGGTTAAACTGAATCAAATACAGCATTGCAATTCAGTTGATGACAAGATGAATAAGATGAATAAGAAAAGCTGCATGCAGACACTTGTTTCCAGATATTTTACAGTCAAACAGGTTGTGGTTGCTAACCCCAGATGTATCACACTTCTTCTTAAAATAAGTTTGATGATCCAGTTTTCATGGTTATTAATATGTCACAGCATAACCACTGAGTTTTCATTTCCTGTAAGCAATCAATACGTCTCAGACACAATGTCAACAAAAACTGAACACTAACAAGATTTTCTTTTCTTTTTTTACAGTTGTAGAAAATTAAACAGGTGCACCTAAACAAAATATGATAACTCAGTGTATGTGAATATTTTACTCACCTAATATGTATGTAGCACCAGCAGCTGTAACCGGTGGAGAGAGCCTTAGTGTTTGAACGACCTGATATCCTGGAGTGTCTGGGATGGTGATAAACTGGAGCTGTAGGATTTTTGGTGGAGTGGTGGAGAGGCCCACTGTCTGTGGTGGACTCAGCTCTGATCCAGTGTCAGTGTCTGCACAAGCTGCACAACATTCAGAAACGTTATCTTCTTGTTTTCCATCAACATGTCACATTAACCTTGAGCTTATCAAACAGGAAAGGGTGAACAAGGAAGCAAGTTGACTTTCCCAAGAAATAGCAAAGGATTTTGTGTCTTGACTCATGAGTGAGGTTTTCACAGCCGCATACCTAAAATAATTTTGACTTCTGTGTTCTGCATATGTGGGATAACTGTGGTTCAATGGGTAGGGCGGTCGTCTCTCAACCAGAAGGTTGGAGGTTTGAATCTCAGTGCCTGCAGTCCTCATGTTGAAGTCTCCTTGGGCAAGACACTGACCCCCCCAAGTTGGCCCCCTATGGTTAGAGCCATTGGTTGAGTTGGCAGCCACAAATGGCTGCCTTGGTTCTGTACCGGAAACAAATTCCTTGTGTGTAACATGCTTGGCCAAATAAAGGTGATTATCCTTATATTCAGCTTGCGCTGTTTGTTTTTCTATTACAGCTTTGTTAAGCAAGCAGTTTGACTTTTAATTGTAAATCTGGAGGAAGTTGGCAGAAGTGAGAGTCTTTTTGGTTCGTCAATGTGATGTCTCATATGACATATTCAAAATTAAACTTCCTGTTTCTGAATTTGCATTCCAGTGTTATGAAGGAACCAGGTCAAACAAGGATGACTAACTCACCCTTCACTCATGAGTCTAATGTTACTACTGTAGTATGGTGTGAGGTCTGCCTTGTTTCTGTGCATATAGTTCAGATGTTTTGGTCTGTTTAATATATTATGTTTAATTTAACAGCTGTATATAGCATATTACATTCATAATAATGCATTTTACACTGCACTGTAGCAACATTTAACACATTTCTGCCCAGTCTGCACAGATACAACCCTCTCATTCTTTTCTCCCAGCTCCGCTAATGAGAGCAACTTGAATTACCCCTGTAATTTTTTACCTATGTGACAGGTAATTCTTTCTTATTTCCCCTTTAAGATGGTTAAAAATGACCATGTCTTTCTGTTCCCCTGGGAACTACATCAGTTTGCAGTAGGGACACTTACTGGGAGTGACAGCTGGCTCAGCCTGTGCCTTTTTGCTTTTTGTTGGCTCTGCAACAGATGAAGAACTAACATTACAACCAGATTCTTAGCTAAACACACAAAGATAGCCACAAAGTAAGCCTAGATCCACCAATGTGAACATACCCAAGACCACAAGGTGGTGACTAGTCCTTCAGTAAAGCCTTAGGAAGCTTTTGGAAAGTACTGTTTTCAAGGACCATCCCACTGTGACAGCAAGTCCTAGATCATTAACTACAAATCATGCTGTACAGCTTTAGATTTTCTGACTTATTTTCCTACTGTTCCACACAGCCAATGGCCACTGTTCCTTTCTATACAAAATGAAAATCAACCATGAGATTCTTGAACTTTGTAATGTGCTTTGACCAGGTACTGGATCAATGACTGACTATAAAAATGGGAAGGACAGTGATAAAACATTAATGATGAGACGGGCTGTTGGCCAATAAGACAACTGTGCAGGTTATATAGTTAACAGCGTCCACTCATATAAGACTGCTGTGTTTATGTATAAAGCCAGGAACAATTTATTACCTGGTGGAATTCAAAAACAATTTAATGAAAGGGAAGGGGGATACAATTTAAGGGGTCAGTTAAATTTAAAAATTCATGCTATACGTACAACCAAAAAAAGATTCTGTATTTCCATAAGTGGGGTAAAACTATGGAATAATTTAAGTGTGGACATAAAAAATAGTAATAGAATTGATGAGTTTAAACATAAATATAAAGGTATGTGTCAATCAAGATATATGCAAGAACAGGCTCAATGATTAATTAGATGGAACATTGTGGGTGTGGTGTATGAATGTTAACACTTTGTAATAATTCTTTAGTATGTTACTTGTGTGGTGTAGAAGAGAATTATTTATGAAGAGATACTGTTTGCAAACCAATGATGTAAGATGATGTCATGGGGTAGGACTGGATAAGTCTGACTTCTTCCTACTCCATTCAAGCATGTACTAGGTATAAGCAAATTGATATTGGATTAGCATTTGTTGGATATGTGTAAAATTATGTGTGTTGATATATCAACTGTCTTTACATGCTTGAAAGAATAAATCAAATCAAATCAAATCAAATCAAATTTGAAACCTAAATGTCATAAATAGCTAGATTTTCTCAGTCGCTTTCACACATTGTCTCAAATCAGAAATGAAATTCTCTAAACTACTTGAACCACCACATCATCCACTCACTTGTGCACATCATTTATGTAATATCTCATTGCCTTTAACAAATTGCAAATGCTTTGGCACATTCATGTAAATGATTGTGTACAATTGTGTGGTGTTTCCTATATTATCAATTGTTTATGTCATGTTGATCAAAATGCATTATATGGTTCTCTGTTGAACCTCCCAAATGTTGGGACAACCATGTTCTGTCTAGGGGGTGTTTATATTTCTAATGTTGTATCTTTTACTTTGTGCTATACAGTGCTGTAAAACACTTTCTTTTCTGCATTGCTGGACCAGTAAAAACAGGAAGGGTGTAATCGTGAAACTGTCTGATCTCATACAGTAATGTAAAACTATACTGTTGAAATTGATTCATGCCATACAGAACAAGTGCAGCCTTGTGTATTTTCAGCTGTTGTCATCAAAACCTGAAACGTAGTTCCCATCAAAGAATCCTTCCAGAGAACACTGACTAGTTATACTAACAAGGTGACAGGTATTTTGACTGCCAGGTTTGTAAACAATGGCACAAGGACTCGTCATTCTGATGGCATGGACGTGCTCACTGACCCATAGTTTCCATCAGAGAATCCTTCCAGAGAACACTGACTAGTTATACTAACAAGGTGACAGGTATTTTGACTGCCAGGTTTGTAAACAATGGCACAAGGACTCGTCATTCTGATGGCATGGACGTGCTCACTGACATATGTATTTAAACTAAGGATTTATGTGCTTCTGCAGGTAATCTGTGTGGTGCTGTTTGAAGAAATGCTCTTACTGTTTTGCAAATATCAAGGAGGATTCGAGACATGTACCAAAAAAACTGAGAAAAACTGTAACCGACAGAAATCCAGACAAATAATCTGGGTAGATCACCTGCTGCTTTGTGCTTTTTTGGTCTGGATGGCGTGGTCTTATTGCCGGGCCAGGAACCTGGAGAGGAAAAAATATAAACCAAAAATGTAAACAATGCTTCATGTGGCAGAGGCATGACCAGAATGAGCAACAATTGGAGGGCTGGGTATTTACCTTTATGTCGTTTCCCCCTTTTTTTGCCTGTCAGGTTGGCATTCTTTGTCGGCGGCTGGCTGAGTAGGCTTGGCGGCTCTACTGTCTTGAAAATATCAACTGAAGGTTCCAAAGGAGGAACTGAAAGGGCCAGTGAAGCAGAGAGGTGATTAGCATTCTCATGCATTTCAGTACTACTGATCTGAGAATGATGGTAAAGAAGCAAGTATCTCTATAAGTCTTGAATACACAGACAAGGAAGCAGCGCACATGGTAAAACAACGGGCAACGGTGACTTGAAACAGTGAAAGATATTTCTTAACACTTGTCTTTTGTTGTTACTGGCTTTATGTTAGGGGTCTCACATGCTTGTTCCTTCAGATATATCTGTTTTCTTCTAACCTTGAGACTCAATGTGTCAATGTTTGTCAAAGTCATTAACCGTACAATATCCTAGTTTTTGGATCGAACTTTACTATCATTCATTCTCTGCCATGTGTCAGTAGCTGTAATGAAAAGAGGAGAGCCTTACTGAAGCTGTCGAAATCCTCGTTGCTCAACAAATCTATGTTTAGGTAAGAAAACACGCTCGTTGCTCAACAAATCCTCATTGCTCCACAAATCTATGTTTAGGTAAGAAAACACATAAAGGAAATGAGACAACAGATCACTTTTGTGTTCATACTTTAATATGTGTGTTTGAGTAAGTCTTCTAATACACCAGTGTGAAATGTGTGTGTTATTACATATAGTGTATGGTATATGAGTGAGAATATACAGTATGTATGAGTGCATGTTCATTAATTACCTAGGCAATTGTTCAGTAATTGATCATCATTGATCATCAGGAACTCTTCTAAATCTTATCAAATAAAAACAATGCTCATTAATTACCTAGGTAATCGTTCAGTAATTGATCATCATTCAGGAACTTTTCTAAATCTTATCAAATAAAAACAATGAGGATTATTAGACAAAACATTTTCAACAGTTAGTTGCACATCACTTATTTTATTGCTAATGAATCATTTAAATGTTTCACATTATTGGACCTTGGTCCGTTTATGGTGCTGCTCTCAGAAATACAGTTATATGTCACTTGTAATGTTTTTGAGTTGTAATGGCCACTTTTCTATTTCAAAGATTCCACCATTTTATCAGCATATATCAGGACAAGAATCTGCAACAATGAGAGGAGCACTAGGTATTGGGATTAACAAGGTCTGCTTATGATTGAAACAAGGCAAAGGCAGCAGGAGCTTCTCATACTTCATTATCTCACCTGAATCTAGTCAGATTTAACTCTTTAAGATGTTTTTTGACTTCTTAACAGCTCAGCCAGTTGCTGACCCCAAAAGGTCAATAGCTTTATGCAGCAAACTACAGTAGCTTTCCATCTAATCCTTGTTTTGCTTTGTGGCAAACCATTCTGCAGAGCTCCGGACTATAGTCTAGACATGTGGTCCGAACCAGAAGCAATGCTAACCTGGTAGAGATCCAGGTAGAAATGGGTCCTGGTCCATGTCCTGCATCTTGACACCTGATAACACACACACAAATGAAAAAAGAAGAAGTGCAAAAATGAAGACATTAATGACATAAATGCATAAGGAATGAAATCATCAAATACTACAGAGCACTCTATTAAGCTGATGGCAACGCCTTGTACTGGTCAACACTCTTGATCTGTGTTGCAGATGAGATAACGTTAGATGAAAGATTTGGCAGCATCACTGCTGCCCCCGCTGTCATGCATGTTCCCATGGAAACTTTGAGAATTTCCTCTCTGCGAAATCGTTTGCTTCAAGTAAAACCTTGAGCCCAATGTGATCACCTGAACTTCACCCCACTCACTAGCTCTCATGTGGTACCTGTGTCATGGTAGACTCAATGTGCTTAATTTAGGATTTCTTGTATAATTGTGTTGATACAAGCAACAACATTTTTTGTGGGTTACATCCTAACATGCTTTTAGAAGTGTGTTTGGATATTACAGCTTACAGGAAAGGAACGTTTGTCAGCATTAAGCTAAATCTCTCCTATCTTAAATCATACATATCAACTCAAATAATGTTTCGAGGATTATTAGACAAAACATTTTCAACAGTTAGTTGCACATCACTTATTTTATTGCTAATGAATCATTTAAATGTTTCACATTATTGGACCTTGGTCCGTTTATGGTGCTGCTCTCAGAAATACAGTTATATGTCACTTGTAATGTTTTTGAGTTGTAATGGCCACTTTTCTATTTCAAAGATTCCACCATTTTATCAGCATATATCAGGACAAGAATCTGCAACAATGAGAGGAGCACTAGGTATTGGGATTAACAAGGTCTGCTTATGATTGAAACAAGGCAAAGGCAGCAGGAGCTTCTCATACTTCATTATCTCACCTGAATCTAGTCAGATTTAACTCTTTAAGATGTTTTTTGACTTCTTAACAGCTCAGCCAGTTGCTGACCCCAAAAGGTCAATAGCTTTATGCAGCAAACTACAGTAGCTTTCCATCTAATCCTTATTTTGCTTTGTGGCAAACCATTCTGCAGAGCTCCGGACTATAGTCTAGACATGTGGTCTGAACCAGAAGCAATGCTAACCTGGTAGAGATCCAGGTAGAAATGGGTCCTGGTCCATGTCCTGCATCTTGACACCTGATAACACACACACAAATGAAAAAAGAAGAAGTGCAAAAATGAAGACATTAATGACATTAATGCATAAGGAATGAAATCATCAAATACTACAGAGCACTCTATTAAGCTGATGGCAACGCCTTGTACTGGTCAACACTCTTGATCTGTGTTGCAGATGAGATAACGTTAGATGAAAGATTTGGCAGCATCACTGCTGCCCCCGCTGTCATGCATGTTCCCATGGAAACTTTGAGAATTTCCTCTCTGCGAAATCGTTTGCTTCAAGTAAAACCTTGAGCCCAATGTGATCACCTGAACTTCACCCCACTCACTAGCTCTCATGTGGTACCTGTGTCATGGTAGACTCAATGTGCTTAATTTAGGATTTCTTGTATAATTGTGTTGATACAAGCAACAACATTTTTTGTGGGTTACATCCTAACATGCTTTTAGAAGTGTGTTTGGATATTACAGCTTACAGGAAAGGAACGTTTGTCAGCATTAAGCTAAATCTCTCCTATCTTAAATCATACATATCAACTCAAATAATGTTTCTCAAAAAGACCAGTGCTATACAGTCATTCAAAAACAATGCCGGATTGCCCGGATTCCAGCTTTCTCTCCCTCATTTCCTGTCATCTCTTTAGTAAAACTGTTTGATAAAGGCATAAGATACCCATAATAATAATAATGAAGTAGCTATCAGAGACTATTTTGAACGAAAGGGCTGTAAGACCAGGGTGGGAGGACAGCTGCTAAGGAAGGTGAGTACGAATGAAGGAAGTTCAGGTAGAAAAACATTTCCTTGTTCTCTAGGGACATAAGAGGAAAGAGACAGCTTGCGCACATGCTATTATTAATCCTACTGCAACTACTTTGATATCATTTCATTTTCCATAGCCACTTGCTTGACCTGTTGGAAAGTGAAAGTAAAACATCATACAAAGAAGCTGTACATGATGAAATGGCTAAATCTACTAGGTAAAATCAACACGGACACAGAAAGAAAGAAAGATATTGCAGATGCTCATTTCTCCTAAAAGTATACACCTACCAATATAGAACGTTTCCTACACAATACAGTAAACTATTCACCACATTCAGCACATGGCCTCTCACTGACAAGATGAAAGAAGTAGCAGAGTTTTTCTAATATGTCCATCTCATGATATTCTCAACTAAAATCAACCTAAGACTGATTCACATTACACACAGTAATCCAGTGTGTAACAGTGTGTAGTGAGAGGTGATCGAGGGTTATTTCTATCTCACTGCAGGGATATTTCAGAGACAAACTGACTCACCATACACATTTAGACCAGATTACCTACTCAGTTGACAGCGTGTCTGTTTGTTGGTCAAACTAACATGATCCATAAAACTATTGTTGGGGCAATTCTTCTGTGTCATAGTCAAAGGTGGTGTTGTACTGGACTACATTATAATCACAGGTGTTCCTAATATTTTGACCCTCTCATGTATGTACATGGGGAGGACAAAAATATAGCGACACCTCTAAATATAATGTAGATGTAGTCCAGTACAACTCACCTTTAACTGTGACCTCAATAATAAATTGAATTGAATTCATACATTTATGAAAAGCTTCATAAACACAGATGTTAAGGTGGAAGTGTTGCATTGAATTGCATACAATTGTACAGGTGTACCTAATTTAGGAAAGCCCAGGTGGCTTCAGTGGTCCCTAGGTTACTTCTTAGTCAGAACGGTGAAAACCCCTGCCTTGTCTGATGGGTCATAGGCAGGTACAGTTAAAACAACGCCGACTGGCCAAAAAGGATGGGTGGTTTCTGTGACTGGCAGACTGGTGGTTCACGTATTCGGAACCGAGCAATCACAGAAAACGCTAACCGAAAAAGGTGCTTCTTATCTTGTTTAATGAATTTAGTCATGTTAGCATTTGAGGGGTTAAACGAGAGCCATGAGGAACACCTGGATCTTTGCTCTCTGTTTGGGGCTCAATTTACCTCAAGATGGAGAAGTAGTGAATCAGCCAGTGATGCAGTTCAGCAGAAAAGCGTCAAAGAGTCAGTCCTGATGAGACGGTATGGTGAAGGAGTGTACTGTGCATCTGACCGCTGCACGGTTGGCACACTACTAATCAGTTAATGTTCACCCTTTATGAAGATAACCAAACTCAAAACACTCTCTAGGCTCCACTGAATGAAAATGATAAAAAAATAAAAAAATAAGTTGCAGGTATCAGACCTTAAAGCCTTCAGGTCCCTGATGTAGGTGGCAGCAGCAGACTTGCTCAAATTCTTTGGCAGGTCTGCTGTTCGATCCTCTAACCAGCTGTAGTTAGATTACTGCCTGAGCAAACTCAAACGGAGTCCCCTGTTTTATACAAGGAAAACAAAATACTGCCAAACACATTCGTCTTACACTGCTGTATGACTTTACACCACTTCCTCGTGCTATTTTATTCAGTTTTTTTAAAAAGATAGTAATGAGCATGATGACATGACAACATGCACAACAAAAGTCCCTGTTATGAGGAACTTGGCAACTTACCATACAGAATAATGGTGCATGCTTTATTAACACAACAACTTGAACAACAGAAAGGAGCCCTGCTGAATACATTCAACACAACACATCTTGAGAGAAACGGTCAGACAGCAAAGAAAAGCCTTAAGTCTGTCTAAGTCCAGATCATAAATGAAATCCCCTCTGCAATATGTGCTCACACATTCCCACGAAACACCCACCCTACTCACATTTATGTGACACTAGGCAATTAAATTGTTTTCACTAGAAGTTCCCCCAGATATCATGCTTTCACTAATTTCTTCTCGTCTCATTTGCTCATACACAATTTTACACATGGCGAATTTTTTAGAAACATCATTTTGTTCATTCGAATCCTTTATTGATGAGAGTTATAGATCAAATATTTTATATTTTTCTTTGTGCGTAATTCAATAACGCAAGTTAAAATTAAATCAAATGACTGACTCACATACTTTAAAGGAATGTAGGTACAAAGACAAAGCACCGACTCTTCCCATCCATGCCTTTGGCAACTTTGGCACAACGCCCCCCACCCCCCCACCACCAACCTGCCCCATCTAAGCTGGGTTTACATTTACCTGCCGGGCCAGCTTCACTGGTGATGCTCGGGTCCACTATTGGCCTGCTATATGTTTCTTGTCCGATAAACTCGCTGCTGGGTTCAGTTAAAACAACCACTGCATATGTCCTTGGATGACTTGCATCTCTATCTTGTGCGCGCAGACTGCTCGGTCTAACAACAGAGTCATGGTTTACTTTCACTTTGCCCTAACTGCGCCAACACAGTCGCCAAGGTTTGGTTACCTCAGATGCGAGGTTCCGGTAGAGGATCTGTTTCTGCTGCAAGATGCGGTTTCCGTTTAAACGTTCCTAAGTGATCAGTTGGAGCGGGGTTATAGAAATATTATGTGCTGCTTACTGATGCAACTGAGCAACATTAAAGCTAAAACACAAATAACGGAAGTAAGAGTGTGTGAAGTGAGTGTACCATTTTCCAACTCAATCATAAAACTAGGGCTAAAAGTCTATTAAACAAGAAGCCTTCAATTTCCGAATTTTGCTTCCAGAGTTTATACTGTAAACAGCCCTTAAGTCTTTGTTGGCTCTGGCTTATGTCATTTCCTGAGGCACTGATCTCATTTTGTTGACCCCTGGGACTACAATATCTAAAGCATAAACATATTCCTGTGGTACAGCTCACACCTGAAACAGCCTTAATTTAGATATGAACCCTACCCCAGCTTGAAATCCACCTTTTAATATGTCTGTCACTGATCAATTAATACTGTCATTTAGTTTTAGAAGTCTCAGTGATGTGTATATACTGTATATAGTCTGTCCCAGGTGAGCTTCTATTAACTCTGCTTTTGAGCCTGTACATCGTTTGCAAACACCAGTGCAGATTCCACACCTCTTGCCATGCGTAAATAAACACAGGGAGGTTTGGCTATGAAACGGAAAGTACCTGACTTACCAGTTAATCAGTGCCAAACAGATTAACCCTCATTAAATGCATCAAACACACTCATACCTTGTGAAAGCTCTTTGTCTACCTGGTTATATGATACTGGGCAACTAGTGAAAAATAAAACAGTAGGTGTATGTGGACATGAAATATGTATATGCATGCACAAACACACACACACACACACAGAGTCAATGTGTGTGTGTGAGCCAAAGCAAGGAGTCTGGACAAGATGGAACTGAAAGGAACCATGGGAATAAAAAGAGACAGGCACAGGAATTGAACTCTTTTCATTCCCAACAAGCCAAGTCAAGCATTCTAGTTTTTTTTCTTTACAATTCCATAGTCTTTGGACAAGAAACACAAATTAAATCATAGACAAATCACTACAGCAACGAAAAGACAAAATTGCAGGTGTACACCACAGCAATATGGAGCAACAGGCCTGGAGAATAAATGCAACAGATCTTAGCTAAATACTAACAGATACACAAAGATAATACTAAACACCGACTGGATATACAAAGACCACAATACATCACACCAATAAAAACTCCACCCTTGTAAATATGTCCAACTAAAACACCATGGACACTGTCTTCTGCCAAAACATACAGTATAGGTTCCCCACAGCAAAGTCAACTATGGCCAAGTCCACCACCACCACGTGCACAACTAATATGGACTGTATAACCATTGAAATCCTGTCATCCTTTCAATGTTTGCTTCCTGCAAGTTTCCTCACCTTTATTTCTGCCTGTTTTCCCTCAGTACAGAAAACCCATACAAAGAGACAATTCAGCTTTGAGTAAAAATCTCGTGTAGCTGGAAAACAATGGTGACAGGGTGGGCGCCTTGAAAAGTGAAAATGAAAGTGAGATGCACCATAACCACAAAATCCAGGCTGGGTGTTCACCCAGAGGCGAACACTCCCTCCTTTACCCGGTGATGAATAACACAACAATTCTCTACTCTTTTTTCTTTGGGTGATGGAGATGATTCAAAATTTATGTTGGAGAGCAATAAAAGGAAAATGGAAAGCACCTGGAAATCTTAGAAAAGAAGTTTCTTTCTGTGCTACAGTGATGCTCTGATGCACGTGAAACGAAGGCTTTGTTACTATTCCTGTAATCGCAGACATTTCATGTAGATGTGAATTTGCTAAAGTAAATAGAAGGTAAGAAGAGGAAAGCACTGGAGAATATATGCATTTAAAGCAGAGCTGAAATAAAATAGGCAACATCATATGATGACTGAGTGCGAACTTACCCAAGAGTGGATCCACTCTCTCCTCATCCTCATGGAACTCTGTTCTGTCATCAGTGCTGCGGGTTGTTGGACCACAGCCAGTCCAGGAAACATTTTCTAAGCTGTCTTTGACACCTAATGTCATGCTACTGTGTGTGGTTGAGTAAAACGAGCTGTCTTGTGCAACAGTATAAGTGTCTGTTGGCGTACAAGGAGACTGTAAATCTTCAATGTCTTCTGTAAACCCAGTATCGGTGCCACATTGTGTGTCCGCAGCAAAAAAAAGCAGATCATCCATTGTGTCTGTGGTCCTGTCAGCTACCCAGCAGAACTGGCCCGCCAGCATGTTGTCGTTTGTGTCTGTTGCTGCACAGGTTACAACAGGTGAGCCGCTTTCTGCTGCGCCAGAGGCACTAAAATGATCTGTCTTCGGCCCAGTAGTTATCACACTGTTGTATGTAGAGAAACAGAGACTTTTTGGTGTGTCTCTTTCTGTGTCCAATGTGAAGTTTGTCTCTATGATCTCCTTAAAGTGGTCAGTGTAAAAGTCCAGTGTCCTGCAAGCAGCTGCAATCTCTGTTTCCTCCTCCATATTCAGAACAGGGCATTGTGCTTCACTGTGTGTCGTTGCCTTGTCACTTGTTGTAACCAGTGGCAGCAACATCTTCTGTCCTCTGTCCCAGTGCTGCCACAGAGGAACAGCGATCCTCCTAGCCGCCTCCTCTATCTCTTCTAACCACACCTTCTTATCCTCAGAATTCCCCTCATCAAATCTTTCATAATCACTTACTAGTTCCTGTTGAGATTCTGCACTTCTCAGCAGTTCCATCATTTCATCATAACATATTGGTCTAGACGTGATCCTGTCATCAAGGTAGTGCTCATCCGCTGCTTGTCCCCCCCTCAACTCTTGGATACATTTGGGAACATTTTCATGAATAACTTGATCATCATACAGTAGCCGAGACTTGGCACTGTTATGTTCATCCACTGATAACGCAGACTCCAAACTGGTCTTGATGTGGTCAGTGGTGGTAGATTCTCTAGACCCTGGGGACCCACATTCCTTCTGGCTGAGATAACACTGGTGAGTGGTGGATCCTTGGTCAAACCCCGGTTTGCGTGCCAGTCGGTCATGAATACACCCAGAGGTGATCCTCTCGGTCAGTCGATGCTGCCTCAAGCTGTTGCTGTAGGCTTCTGAAATGATCTGCTCCTCCACCAGTCCCTCCAGCAGAGCCTGGATCTCAGCAGGAGAAGAGCAGGTCAGAGCCAGTCGCACTCCGTCCAGAACCTCCTCAAACTGGGCCATGGTGACAACGTCTGCTCCCCGAGCATCAAGTCAGGCAAAAGACACAGCTACTAGTACAGATGATTTTTATTGTATTTTCTAAAGGGAAACTGATTTAGCTCAGGAGGCGTTTTTCTTAATGTAGGGACGTGTCTTTGTGGTTTGAGAGTGTCTGTGATTGAACAACTGCTCAGTTTTTTTGGAGGGGGTGGGAATATGAGACACTGGAGGAAGTTATTATTATTATTATTAAGAAGTACACAAGGAGAAAAGATTATGGGAGACAGTCTTTGGTTTTACTGTTTTATCATCACACATTTCTTCTTACAAAAATCACTCCAGCTGTTTATTCTGTATTATTAATTAGCATTTGATTTGTCTAATGGTACCTACGTTTTGCTCTTTTTCATAGATAAATATCATCTTGAGTGCATTAGCACACACACAATACAACGAAGAAAACATTTTCAACTCAATTACACATCGTTACCTTGGCAACAATACTTTTCACTAGTTGCTTGTATCAGCTTGAGTTCATTTTTCTGAATCTTGTCAGATTTCCTGATCAAGTGATGCGATGCATCTTTGTTTTGCCAATTTAGGATCTTGTGTTACAAGATATAACAACAAGGAAATGCATTTGCTAACTGCTCAAATTAAAACCACTCCCCATTCCATTTTGAGTCAGTCACTTTTTGCACATTTCCTTGTGTGCAGTCACAAAAGTATACATTTTTTTCACACATAACCAAGCAGACACACAGGGACACAGGTTTTTCACCAGATTTTTGTCTTTATATTTTTGTCCTCCCCAGCTGCATACATGAGAAGGTCAGAATATTAGGAACACCTGTGAATATAATGTAGTCCAGTACAACACCACCTTTAACTGTGACCTCATTAATAAACAGGAACGTAAATGTAAACATTCATCACAATTTCACCAAAAGCTGTAACACTTTGAGCTTCATAAACACAGATGTTAAAGCAGAAGCGTTGCATTGACGTGCATACAGTTGTGACTAGTAAAGTGGCCAGGCAGTGTATTTTAGAACTGGTTTGGTGAAACAGTTCATGCCTCACTGTCACTTCACACACTTCTCTTCCCACACCTCCTGCACCATACAATCAGTAGAGGTTACCTGGTAATGACAGAAGTTGAAAGAACCTTTGTAGAGTACGTATGGAAGTAATAATGAAAGTCACAGCTGCTTCTCCAAAAATCTAAATCCACATTAAAAACACTGCAGTTTTGATTTAGTGAGAAACCTATTCACTAAGTCACTGCAGGTTTCTTATATAGTGCATCCTTTAAGAATCACAATTGTATAACATATCATTAAAGGACACTGTTATGTTTACTCTTTTTTTTCTTTAAATTTAAAGTCCTGTTTTTATAATTCAGCAGACTGAAACTAACTGCAACATAAAAAAAAAAAAAACTAGAACTACATGGGACCTACAGTCTGTACGGCTCTGGCTGCTGTTTTCTCTGTTAGCAGGATGCACATGTAGTTTCACATGTGTTTTCACTAAACCCTAAAGGAACTATGAACACATGAGGACATAGAAACACACACATACACACATCTTACTATAGCTGTGAGGCCACTAATTGACATACTGCATTCCCTACCCCTACCCCTAACCTTCACCATCACAAGTAAATGTCCACCCTCAACCTAACCTAAACCCTAAAAACAAGTGTTAACCCTCAAACAGCCCTTTGAAGGTAAAGATCGGCCAAACTATCCACGATATGGTCCGGCAAAAATGTATCCACACCACCATACAAAACATGTAAACACACACACTTTAAATAAACACCTGATTGGACCCTACAGGCCAACTCATATAGAAATCAGTTTAGGATTTGTTTTTGATGTACATCGCTGTATCGTGGAACAGACAGAATTCCGTTCTATCAAATGTACCACACTGATGTATGAGACACACCTCACCCCTGGACTTTTTATGCTGATACTAAATGCTGTTTTATGTTAAACTGTAGCTATCATATGCTATTTTTTACTCTGGCATGTTGTGTGAGGCATAATCTCACAAAGACAGCTGTTTAAATCACATGGTAACACCATGGTATTTTTATATGGCAACCTTTTTAATACCATCTGTTGTAAGTGATCAGGCTTCTTGTATATAGTGAGTCAAGGAAATCAGTAAATCTGTACATTAAAACATTGATTTCTTCTTAATGAGCCCAATTGAAAACTATTTTGTCCAACACATTTCTGGTGTCAATCAGCCTAGTGAAGACTGTTTGACTGAGATGCTGTATGGAGGTTGGAATCCAGTGGACTGAACGAATTGAACGCTCCAGCAGCATGTCTCCTTGTTAATGTGAATTCCCAGCGACTTTACAACCAGCCTTCACTCTAAAACGGGGCAACTGTAGTTTAGCGGGTGGAGTGGTTGTCTCCCAACCGGAGGGTTGGAGGTTTGAATCTCAGTGCCTGCAGTCCACATGTCTAAGTGTCCTTGAGCAAAACTCTGAACCCCCAAGTTGCCCCCAATGGTAAGAGCCATTGGTGTGAGTTGGCGCCGCAGATGGCTGCCTCGATTCTGTACCGGAAACAAATAATGTAACATACTTGGCCAAATAAAGGTGATTAAAATGTCATGATTTATATCATGGGGACTAGATTTTGTCCCTACAGTGTGATTGTGCTAACAGATTTATATCCCCACATCATGAGTAATACAAGTACACACAAGGAATCTTACGACTCATAAGCAGATCAAGCTAAACAAAAATAAACCTGCGTCAAGGTTCAGTAAATTTGATTTATTTGATCAATCAGTCAAAATACACTACCCAAAATATTTTTACTAATATTTTTTCAACAAATCAATCAAATCAGAGAAACCAGTCATTCAAAACAGGGGAATCCACCTTTACAGGTTATGTAGTTGCTGGCATATTTCTTGTAAATCATGAAGAACAGGCTCATTTAAGTGGTAAATAAATTTAATGCAAACTAATCTTCAGAGGACTTAGTAAAGTTAACATCTTTCTAAAGAATTATATTAAATTGAAATGTGGAATGATTTCAAGGAGAAGTTAAAATGTCATACTATGCCGATGAGACAGTGTTCTCTATTTAGAAGAATGACTCAAATGATCACCACCTACATGTGTTAAATCCCCAGCTACTGGTACCATTATCCAACTTCCTCCTTACTACTGATTCACTGCATCGGAAGTCATTGAGGTCTGAGCTATTATCCATGCAGATAACAAGTAAACATCACTGCTGCTTGATTTTAATTTATGGTCAGAGGTTTAACTTCCCCAAATAACATCTAGTGTGAAAAGTAATATTTTTTTCATATTGTAAAGGGCCCGACAGTGTTTGTGTGCAGACTGAGCCGGTCCCGTGCTTACACTTCAATTTGCATGGTGAGAGATCAGGTGATAATCTGTATTTGTAGTTTATTTTCAGTCAGTCCCACAGACTGCCGTTAAATACTCACTTGAGCACCCATGTGTATTAATCCACAGTTGAAAATAGTCCCCAAAAAATTTAGTATTTACTCCTGTCTAAGTAACATTTAGTAAAAACTCCAGTGCCCAGCTGTTTTAGAAAGTAATTTAGCCTTTCTTGAAAACAATATATCCGTCACCAGTTTTTAAAGATGCTTGTCTTCAGTGGGCAGCTGCCTCACTGATGCTGAGATCATTCTGACAAGCTTTGAAAAATAAGCAATGATGGTGTTACAGGCTTTCCTCAGTGAGTTTCTTATTCAGTAGTTTATCATCTATACCACTCATCATGTGCTCTGACTCAGTGTCAGAGCACATGACCACCATCCCTTCAGGTGGTGCTCTGCTCCTCTGTCACATGGTTGGAACAGTACTCCTGGATACCTGGTCAAGGAGAAAAGAGAAGAGTGAGGATGATGAAAATGTTAGTTTTGATGAACAAAACAAATATGCCTCTGCTACGCTGTGTGTACATTTGTTTTTATTCGCTGCTTAGTGAATCAAATGTTACATAAACCACATTTGATTCCGCAAATTTCATCTCATGCTGTAGGTACTGTTATTGTATTTCGATACAATCCTTCTCCTTCCCGTTTAGTCAAGTGGTTCCTATTTATTTAGTGACCAGTTCTTCTTTCAGTAGAACCATTAATCAGGAATTGGGCCATAAAAGAAATCATCTAGTCATCAAAAATAATCCTGGTGTTTGATGGAAGTCTGAGTGCGCATCTAACTTCCTTACCAAAGAATCTGACAAAATGGGCGATGCTCGTTTATGTGCGTCTGTGTTGTGTATAGATTACTAGAAACACTCACTCTGCACAATTGTCTGGTAGACCTTAGCAGCAGGAGAGTCAGGTACTTGATCCAGGAAAGACTTGCCCTCGTCGCAGCTTTGTGCTATCCTCGGGTCTAGAGGCACTTTTCCTAACAAAGGTAGATTAAAATCTGCACACATTTGCTCAGCCCCCCCACTGGTGGGAGGAAAGATCTGTGACGTATTCTGTGAAAGAGGAAAAGAAGGTTTTATTCTACAGAACCTAAATTACATGAGAGTTGTGCTGTTCTCTATATGTTGGTATCAAGAATAAAAAATATTTCTAAATGTGGCAAAAATTAACGTGTTTTTCAGCCATGAAATTAGCCGCTGTTGAAATTCATCATTATCACAGTGAACTCATCCACAGCTGCCAAGCTCTGAGAAACTACAAAGTTCCTACAGACATCTTTAACATCCACTGATGAAAAGTATTTGAAACCCAAAAGCTAAACTGTTTTTGTCAAGTGTCACACTGATTTGTATTTGAAATTCTTTGTTTTACTTTTAATAGTAAGTTCCAACAATGCCAGTTTAATATGTACAATTTATAATATATAAACGTTCGGCTTATGTATTGTAAATATTCAAGGATTTGTTTAGTTTGTATTAGTGTTTGTGCAGCTGTCAGTGACCTTGCATTTAGGACAGACAAAGCTACTCATGTTCTCCACCACTCCGATGATTGGCAGCTTGACCTTTTGACAAAATCTGATTTCTTTTCGCACATCCTGCAACGACATCTCCTACAGAGAGAGAAGAAGAAAGAAGGAAAGAGAAAGGCAAAGTAAGAGAAGAGGCAGAGGGAGGACAGAACAGAAGAGATAGAGAGACAAACAAAGACACTGGTGAAAAGAGGATTAACAGAAACTGTTTTCCTGTCCCTTATAGCTGCTCTCAGTGTTTCAGCCTTACAAAACCCCTCTACTTTGATAAGAGCTCTGTTGCCTATTTCGTGTTATCAAATGAACTGGTTTATTTTCTTGGGCAATTCCCAGCTTGGTAGTGGTTAGTGAGAGCTGATGGAATGAGGAAATGATTCTACTGCTGTCTGACCTCATGCTTCAGCCTAATTTCACTTTGAGTTAAAGTTACAAAACAGCCTGCAGGCATAACTCTGCACTCTGTTCTATGGTGTTTATGCATCTAATGTTTTCAAACTTTTGCTACAGTGGAAGATTTGCTGGTGCCGGTTTCGTAAGGCTAAGGTGTGTCCTTGCTATACAAACATATCAAAGGTCCTGATAAAACCAAAAGCAAAATGAAGTGCAGTCAGCGACTAAAGCCTGTGTGTGCCTGTATAGTGAACTCTTGTAGCTCATACTAAGGATGTACAGTGTATACATCATATACTGTAAGTGTTCCATATGTTTATGGTCTTACTACAAATTTCTAGGGTATTTTGAGTTTTCTGTAAACTCACTAAACTTGCTGTATTTTAGCCTGACATCTCATGTGGTCACCCTGCACTCACTGTAGCACACGGTTTATAAATCTGAAAAACTCCATCTAAACTGTGTGTATATCTCTCTACCCTCTGCTAGAGGTCAGCACAGTGACTCCAATTCACATGATTAATTTGGCACAGTTTTACACTGAATGCCCTTCCTGACACAACCCTCTCTATCTATCCGAACTTGGGAACACCACAGAAGCCACTGACCTGAAACCCCTGTGGCTAGATACACAAACTGTGTGTATATACAGTGGGTACGGAAAGTATTCAGACCCCCTTAAATTTTTCACTCTTTGTTATATTGCAGCCATATGCTAAAATCATTTAAGTTCATTTTTTCCTCATTAATGTACACACAGCACCCCATATTGACAGAAAAACACATTTTTTGACATTTTTGCAGATTTATTAAAAAAGAAAAACTGAAATATCACATGGTCATAAGTATTCAGACCCTTTGCTGTGACACTCATATATTTAACTTAGGCTCTGTCCATTTCATCTGATCATCCCTGAGATGGTTCTACACCTTCATTTGAGTCCAGCTGTGTTTGATTATACTGATT